AATTTTAACATGTGTTTGCAGTTTAAATTGTATTATATTTAAATAACGTGCATACATTCAGTTCAAAAAATTATCTGAGGAGACATTTCAAATTTTTTATTTTGAAACAACAAAATTTAAAGACATTGAGCCACAACTAGTTTGGACTCATGTGCCATACTCGAAATGAGTGAGTTAAATCATTTTAAAGATGAAAATACATCATATGTATGCAATTTATAAAATAGATTAAAATCTCATAATTTTGTTTTACAAAATATTTCATTCCTTTTTATTTTCGAAATTACTACATTTTAAAAATTAAATTCAGTAAAATATTTTGTAAAGCTTTGAAAATAGGTTAAATAAAATGGTGTTAATAAGGCATTATTATTCCGCTTGCAAAGTTCAGGACAGCTTGTCTTAATTAAGTTTAGAATTATTCTTAACATATGTATATGAACTGTATAAGTTATTCTTACAAGAAATTAACTGTTTTCCGTAAATGAATCATTATTAATTTGTGCTCGCTTTCCTGACTCACAGTCTAATATCTCAACGGCTCTTATTCCGTCACATGATTTATTTGGTCAATGATTTTATTTATTACTTAGAGATAAAATGGCTGCAATTATGAAAAGTGAAGTAAATTTGTAAGTCCGGCGGATATTGGTGAAATCTGCACACAGATTTAAGATATCCCAACAAATTTATAACAAAAATTATTTTTTATTTTTCCCGTTCAATAGAAAGAAAATAAGGAAAGAATACAAAGAATTCTTTCTTGTTAATGAAATAAAATTACATATAGAAACGCACAATGAATATGGCGAACCGCATTAAAAGCGATGTATGTACCTATTGATAAAAAGTTATTAAGCTAATATTAAAAAGAAATACATTATCATGTGTTAATGAAGAGTTATTAAATTGTCAACAAAATTTTTATTTGAAAGAAAAGAAATTTTAAGGAGAAAAATTTTTTAATGAATTTTTCTGCCTTTAACTCGTTCCTTTGATTACGTCATCAATCTGTTCTGCAGTTGCATGAAGAAATTTTCATTAAGTTAAATTATTAGTGTAATAAGCAGATTCTTATTAATTTCGCAACTATGATGTTGTAAAATTCATAATATAAATAACTGTAACTTTTTCCATACTTCCTTTTATTAATAGTTTTTGGTTTAATTGAAATTAATGAAATCTTTTGTCGTTCAGCGAAATTTCATTATCTTCTTCTCTACCTACATGATCGCAATAACATACATTTTCGTCGTTAGCAACTCGCAAATGCATCGTTTTTTTTTCTAAATTTTTGACCACGTATGTATCTATAACTATCTCCTATATCTTAACCGTTTAAGTAAAAAATATATGGTTAAGTGGTAATGCAAAAAATGTGTATGTGCGTATATATGAATATTCTGCTGCTGTAAAAAGTATTTATATTTTTAGATAAAAATATATGTCTTTCTAAAATTTCCTTAGAAATTATGTTTGAAAAGAAAACATGTGTATAATTATTGCTTTACGTTATTTCTTAAATTTCAACTTATTATCTTTTTAACATTTTGCCAGAAGAAAGTAAACAATTACACCTTATCCTAACAGCTCAAAACTTTTAACTATTTTTGCACTTAACAAAGCATTAAATAGCACTTAACATTGATTACCCACATTATTTTCAGGTTTTTATGATTTATCTTTCATAAAGTGCAGAAACTTTATATTTTTCTTTTAAAATATTACAATTCAATTTTACTTTACTTCTCGTTTCAGTTATATTCAGTACTTTAATAAACTTATATTTGGTTGAGTTCATCATTTTCGGAGCCATTCTGTGCGCCTTGTTATTTGTATTCTTGATTGCGATTATTTTTTTTTTATTCAGATAAGAAAAAAATTTTAAATAGAAATTTTTGCTTCAAAATGTAAATGAAAGTGAAATTTTTTTTCTATAGGAATTGTTTTTGCTTACTATTTTAAACTCTATTTATATAATCAAAATAATTGAATAATTAAAATAATAAACTAAATATACTAATTGAGATTGTATTATATATTTAACTGAGAAGAAACCAAAACAAAAATACGATGCTTAGGAAATTTAATTACACAATAATTTTTAGGTTAATAATATACCATAAACATTAATTATTGCTACCTATATTTAAATGATATTTGGACAAATATGAGTAATAGAAATATCATTTTCATGGTTTGCTAATGAATTATATGAGGGGATTTTTAAACAAATGTTTAATAAAGTTGGGTCAAACCACTGGTTTGTATTGTAGCACTTTTCCCTTTAACAAGTGAAAATTCTGCTTTTAAATACAGTCTATGTATACCTATCACACTATTAAAATTATTTTCATTCATATACAAAGGTATTTCTAGGATTGCATATATTTAGGATGATGCATACATGCAGTCTTTGAAATAAAGCAAAAATTAATATAAAGAGGGGTTAACATAATGCTCGATTTTAACGGTTAATTGTGTGAGTTAAGAAAAATAATTATATTTTTTAATATCATGGAATTTACCGTTAGCTTTTTGTGTTTATAGAAATTTGAAAAAGGTTGTGGTTTCGGAAATATAAGGTGTCAAATATTCAAATTTTACAAATTTCAAGAGGCGATAACTTGAGAGGGGGTGGAGAGGGAAAAAATTTTCTTCTAATAAATTAACTCTTTGTTAATGTCTAAAAGCCCCTAAAATTTCAAGGTTATACAAGGTGGGGTCTAGAAAAACGAAATCAAAAATTTGAAAAAAAAGACTTTAGATAATGGTAAATTTGAACGGCCATTTTGTTTTTCTAAAGTTTAACTATAGTATACCGCGCTAGGGGAAACAAGTCGCTGCCTTTCTGCGTTTGCAAAATTTCAAAAATGCTTATGGTTTCATTGCAACAAATATAAAAAAGGCCATTTTTAGGGTTTTGGTAGGGTATAACTTCTAGAGGGGAGGAGATAGCTAAAAATTTTGTTCTACGCAAATAAGTTTCTAGTAAAGATCTATGTACGTACAAAATTTCAGCTTTCTATCTTCAAGGGTGTAGAAGTTTGTAAACAGACACACGGACAGACGGACGGACGGACGGACAGAGTGAAACTAATAAGGACTTTTTTTTTCAAAAATTTTTTGGAAAAGTGCTAAAAACTATTTGTTTGCAGAGAACAAATTACATATCAAGCCAATTCATATGTGATTTTAAAAAATTTTTTTAAATATTTTATCTATTGTTAAAGTATTATTAGATGGTCTGTAGATCTCGCAAGAGTTTGAATTTTTCACCAGTGCTGTTAATTTTACTACAATTGTAGTATTTAACTACATTTTGGCATTCTATACTACCATACTACTGTAAAGTAATTTTTACTACTTTTTTGCCTTTATACTGAAATGTCATTATTTACATTGGTTTTTGAAAATGTCATTATTGTACTGCTAAAAAAACCACTTGCACAAAAATAAGGAGACCTTAAAAATATTTTTTGTTATAAAAAATTTTTGTTTTTCTAAAATTAAAAATTATTTTCCAAAAAAAGTTTGCTAATGTTTAAATTCGCGCGTTACGCAATATGTTAATTCACAGTAACCAGATCAATTTGACATTAAAAAAAAACAATCAAAAAACAGAAAAAAAATTACCTACCGTTGGCAAAGTCGAAAATATCGTACGCAACGTATAGGCGAGTATTTCACTTGATTTTACATGTACTCATGCAAAAACATTTTTACGCAAGTACTTCCTGCTATGCATCTATTTAGTCAGATGCCTTACTATTTGTTTGGTGTTAATGATAATCCCAAATTACTACACTAAAGCTTTCCATACTACTTTTTTTAAGACAAAATGCTACTTAAAAACATGTTGAAGTTAACAACAGTGTTTTTCACATGACTTGCTAGAAATTCACTTTTTAAATTTTTGTATTTGTAATGTTTTGTATATGAAATTTGGAAACGTTTTTTATGTTAACTTGACACAGTTTTAATCGTTAATAAATACCATAAATTCAGTTTTTACGTTATTTAGGCGTTTTTACTAAAATAGAAAAAATTTATATAAAGACTTAAAATAGCACTGGCAACAGAAGCACTAAAATAGACTAAAACTTGTTTAGTAACTGGAATAACAAATAATAACAATGTTTTATGTCAATGAACATTATGTTAATCAACGTTATTTATACGACTTCCTATTAAATAGTTTCGAACTTTTTGGCGTTCATTGGAAAATTTTTGAAATAACTACAACGAATAAAAAATATAAGCTATTTATTGCTAACGGTTTCAACGTCGTCCAACACGGCAACTATATCATTATTATATCTTATATGTGTACAATATGTAAAAAGCAAAAATGTGTTAATTACATCAAATTCCTTTTGACTTTTGCAAGCTGAAAATAAAAATGTATATCAATGTATGTATGTATATTCAAAAATTTTTTTATTTTGAAACATGAATGTGTACATTTAATCGATTAAAATAATGCAAAGTATTACTGCTCACTACTAAATATATTTGTTTTTTCATAAGCGGGTTGCTATCAATTGTAATCAGAGTGTTTTTAATATATAATATAATACACATGAATGTGTATGCATTTCAAAGCGTTAGCAAATTGCAAAGACTGACAGTAGGTATGTCTGGTATAAAACTTGAAAAAAGTGTCGTCTATTTTCGCAAAGAAAAAAAAATCTGATATCAAAAAAGCCAGACTGAAAAAACTTTCAAATATTTCAAAATATTTATCAAACACAAACAGTAAACACATAAAAAAAGAACATATCTTTTGACAGTTTTATATTTTGAAGTTTTTGAAACACTAAATTTTACTTTAAAAACTTGGAAAAACTTTAACCATTGAAAAAACGATGTTGTTTTTTCAATGGTTAAAGTTTTTGTGTTTTAATGATGATTTGCTCATTTTTTTCTCCTTAACCTTAAGTTAAAAACAAAGTTTTTAAAAACTTTCTTATGCCAGACAGACCTAGTATAATGTAAATTTAACGATTTCGATAAACACGCTTTAATAGCGTAAATGTTGTGTAGGTAACATTTAAGAGTGATTGTAGCGACTGCAAGTTCATATCATATATATCACCCATGCGAATCTAAAAACACAAACATCATGTGAAACTGTGGCATTCTAGCAAAATATAGAAAAAAAAACTTACCGCTAGAGGTCTTTGTGATCGCAAGATTAACATACTCAACGTCATTTTGACCCTAGTAGTATAATTATACCAATAACAATTATATGCTGCATCACCCACTGCAAGACTCTCAAAACGTAAAAATAGAAATACATTAAATGCATTAAACAAAAGGTTATGTGCTAAGATTGAAGCAATTTAAAATTTAATTATATAAAAAATTAATAAAATGGCATTTATATTTATTTAAGCTGATGAGCGAACTTTCAAATTATTAAAAAAATTTTTCAGTAAATTACTGATTCCAAAGATATGAAAACAAAATTTAATTTAAAAGTTCTAATAGCTAAATTCCGTATAGTTTTGCTAAAATTTTGATGTCACGAAATTTTTTTAAACAGATATTAGTGTTAGATATAAAAGTTTAAGGAAAAAATCGATATTAATTTCTTTATCTTTTATCTCACAGAAGTAAAACATTAAGAAAATTACAAAGTCAAATAAAAATAAAATTGACATGCAAAAATATTTAAAATAGTCCAATCTTACCTCGTCATACAACTCATTAGCAAACCAAGCAAATGCTGAAATTTGTGATAACATTGTAATGATATAAACAGAAACGATTACAACATTAGCAAAATCGCTTATCTAAAATCAAATTTATAAAAATATATACATGTTAATCAGAACCAAAAAAAGGATTACAGTTGCCATTAAAAACAGTAAAGCGCATAAAATTATTCCATACATCGCAAATTCGATTAAAAACAAAATAGAAATTAAAATGTTGAATTCCTTGATATACCTATAAAATTAAATATAAAATATTAAGCAAACGAAAGAGAGTATTACTCACCTTATCAATTTTCTTTGATATGATATACACCAAACAATTTGATTTATTAAAACTTTTTCAGAATCCTCTTTTAGATAAAGTGATTGTAGTCCAAATTGCAAGATACGGCACATTGTAGTTCCAAACATCATAGATATTACAAATAAATTAGACAATGGTATATACAAATGACAACCAACTGGGGTAATGACCATTTGTAAAGCATATATAATTTGAAAATAAGGAGACTCCAATTTATTTATACCGGGGCAATAAAAACCATAGGGGAGTTCTACATTATCAAGAAAACAAGACAAGAGAAAAATATCAATATTATATTTTATATTGAACTTTAACTGTTATCTGTACTTTTTCTGCTTGATTTTTTTATTATGTTAACTTTGTAAAAATATTTATAATTATATTTATAATTATAAATCTAAACTGCTTTGTATTTTATGTACATATGTATGTATGTATATAAAATATTACAATAATTACCCTTAACATCAGAAAAAATAGGCGCTGAGCTGAATGCTATACATGTAAAAATACCAAAAGCTAAGTTAAAGTAATTCCATTTCTTTGCAAATCCTGTAGTGTTAGTCAAAATTTTAATCATTCCAGGATCTCTATAACGCTAAACCAACTTTACTAAATATTCATTAGGAAAATCAACAATTAAACAATTTATATACTCACAAAATTAATGTCATTAGAATAGTCTTCAATTATTTGAAAAAAATCAAGAAAGCTTTGTTTTCTAAAATAAAATATCCAAGCTCTTACAACAGCATTAAACCATAAGGTGACGATGAATGCATTACGAATTTTTGTTTCAACTGTTCCTTTTTCCAAAAATAAGTCAGAAATTTGAAAAAAGTTGTTCGATGTTACTAAAAGAAGTGCTACATATGTACGCCAAATATTCTTATGTAGTGCCCATTGCCTATAAAACCACAAATTGATGGTCATCATCGGTACATCATAAATCATTTTTGTTTTTATAATATAATTTCTATTTGCGAAATTGCTTTCTAAACCGAAGAACGCACTTCAAGTCTGCTAAAATTAGCCAACGAATAACATACTGATATTTTAATAAGGCTCCTTTTTAATTATAAATAACTTTTGATTATTAGGTTTCAATGAATAGAAAATATAATTAAAAAAAATTATTACTTTAAATACTAATTTTAAACTTAAGTAGTTTATTCAAAGTTAAAAGTTTTCTTAAACTACAATTGATTATATGTATGAGTAACTCCCATATGTAAGAGCAAATAATTTTTGGGTGATTCTTTATTCAATTATGTAAATGAATTTAAATTTCATTATTATATACTATATTAGCCTTTTGATTTTAAAGCTAATTAATATAACTTCCGAGCTGTCACGTATGGAAGAAATTTTTAAGTTCATTTTAAATACAATAAAATAAATAACCAATGCGGCGCTCGGCTTTGTACAATGCGTGTAAATATAAAAAGAAATATTTGTTTGCACGTTTTTGAAATCAATTCATAACGAGATTTACTTTTCATTATATTTGAGTCCAACTAAAATTTTATATAGAAATTTCTTCCTTTTTATCATTCTTAATCAGTTTTCTTTAACGTTGGATTTACTACTTCGCCGTTTAATAAAAACTCAGAAAAACACAAATTCGTTTATAAAGCTACAAATAAAACATAAATTTGAGTATTAAACCCAAACTTATACCAAAAAGAATATCTGTAAATAGAAAGAAAAGTATGAGGGAAAAATTCATAAATGTCCACGGAATAAATCAAGTCTAAAGATATACACGTTTTCATAACGTACATACCTACGGGGAAAATTTTTATCCAACATGAACGTTTATAACGTCAACAACTCAATTACAAAAAAAAAGGAAGCCTTCTTGTTTAATAAAGAAAAACTTTGATAAAAAAAATTAAAACTACTTTGAACAGTTTATAAGCAGGTGTATACACATAAACTATAACTTGAAGAGTAATGAAATGATTGTTTTAAAAGTTTTTGTTAAACCTTCTTTGAGGTAATACGAAAGAATACAAGTATACTAATATACTTGTATTGTAAACTAAAAAAAACAAAAAACTAAATTCATTTGAAGATTTGCTATAAATCAAAAGCTTTGAGTACACTTAAATCGAATGATCATAATGAGGTTACTGTTCAGTTAAAGAAAATATAATTTACAAAAATTGGCTCCAATCCGCCACTTGATCCAGTATTGAATTTGGTAGTTAGACAATGTAAATAAGATTAATTTTAATATTTGAATTTACAATTCTCAAATCCAAATAGGATTAATGAGTTAAAAAATTCAACGCTTACATTATTGGCAAACAGACCAACAATTTCATTTTAAAACGGGGTAAAAAGAAAAATGTGAAACTTACTAAAACTTCTCTTAGTTCTGTGATCTATCAAATATCTTGGCGTTGCTAGTTTTTTAGATGACTCTTCGAAAAGCTATTTAACGTTATCTTTTCTGTCAAAACAAGGTGGACGCAGGAAAGGCTGAAATCGATATCGAGTGATATTATTAAATAAATTTTATTCACCAATTGTGGCAGCTACTTCGACAATTTTCCACTCGGAGATTTTTGCCCTCGATCTTGACATAAAGGAAAATATTCGGAGGGTTTTTGCAACTGTTGTTACAGTTTGCAGAACTAAATTTTGCCAAATGTGATTAAACGTGATTAAGGAATGTTTAGGAAAATTTCCTCATGCAATTGCGAAACGAATTGAATATTATTGAAAATATCAATAAATATTATTAAAAATAATCAATCAATGTAACAAAGATAACATAAATTAATATGTATATTTTTAAGAATCGAATCATAAAAAGTATAAATACCTAAAAAAAACCATGCTGTTAATATGGTTTAAGAGGCTTTCATGTCAATGTTACTAAAAACCGTTAATTTACTTGCAAATACCAGATTGTAATAGTTAATAATATTTAATTATTAATTGACAATAATTTCAGCGAAACAACGAAAATTTTTCGAAAAGGTTATAGGTTTTAAACTTAGGCTAGATTTTTTCCCATGGTTTACTTGACTCTTTAAAAAAACATGAGTGGATAGAAAAAACAACTAAGAAACTCTTAATTATAAAAAAATTGTATGGAACAATTATTATGTGGAACATTTTATTTCCTTTAGCATAAATAATGTGACAAAAAGTAATTTTTTATTCTTAAAATTTTTTAAAAAGATTTACACCTTTATGCGATTTTTTCGAACCTATATAAAATGTAATGCCACAAATCATTGTTACTCAAGCCAAAATGCACTGAAATTATGTGCAGATTGCTCAGAAATGGTAGAAGATTTCTAAGATGCATAGTAGATAACGGCAGAAGACTTCTAAAGTACAGTATAACTACAACCTACTGCTGATCCAGAATACCCTACACAAAAATTATACAATTATACACATTCTGCAGATAAAATGTAGAAAGTAAAGCAGAAAGAGTAACCGTAAAAAGTTCGCTGCTGTTTGTATATAAATCAAACTAATGGTACCAGATCCTTTTTTCCCGAATATTACTCAATAAATTGTTTTAAAGTTTTTCACTTTTGGTATTTTTCTGTGCGCAATTTAAGTTTTTTGTGCAATAAAATGAGGCATATTAGTTTTAGTACGGGTCAAATACTGTCTAAATACAGTTTTAAAACAACGAAAAGTTTAAGTTTTCTGTTTAAATAACAGTTTTAAAACAACTCTTTAAGCCGTTGCATTGTATGTAAGCTTCGATTTCAGTTTTAGAGTTTGAAAAACAAATTAATAATATTAAAAAATATACTAAATAAAAAACAAAAAATTAACAAAAAAAGAAAAGATTAACCTGACAGATTTTAAAAACTCTAAATTTCTAAAGTTTACGTTTCGGCTGCGTATTCGACACATTTTAGAATGTCTATACAATGTCAAGAGCTTTTAAATACATTTTAGAATATGATACATTGTAAATTTTACACTTTCACTGCATTTTGGAAGCCAAGGATAGGTGGGCAAATAAGCTTATTTTTTTAAATCATAATTTTTATAAAAAAAACTCTTGAAACATTTTATGCTAGTATTTTGTAACACCAATAAAAATTATTATTGCTTATATACAGTAACAATTAATAATAAGTGTGTTACGTCACCTGTTATGTTCGTAATGGAATTACTTTATTTAACATGTTCGTATTTCATTTCAAAGTTATAAATAATGAGCTTAAAATCAAGTTATAATTTTGACAAGTGGAAATAATTGTTGATTATATTGTTTAAAAATATATAACCTATTAAGTTATTAAGTCATTAGGTTATTTATTTTTAACTTGTGTACTTTGGAAGATATATATATAATTTTTAGTTATGAGGCAGATCACGTAATGATAGTTCCAGACTTGTATTCAGCTTTAGCTTCAAATCCTAAGAGCCAACCTCTACCATCAAAATTGACTGTTCGCTTGTACAAAATTATAATTTCGTTTGTTTTGCTATCGAAATAACCTGGGTCATCCTGTAAAAAATTTTAATTTCATTAAAAATTTATGGGAAAATATTACTAAAATTTTTTTACGCCTCCACAAAGCTCTAGTGCAACTTTTGAACGAATTGGAGATGCCTCAATAATTTGTAGATTGTCGTACGGACAATTTTTTTTGGATCCCATATCAAAATCTGCGCAGCAAATATTTTTGGTATATTTATAATTTTTGAACTACATATGAGTATAGATACCTTTGAAATAGATTCCAATAACAGTGTTGGTCGGACCAGTTATAACCCAACGACATTCACTATAATTTCTAAAATTACTAGGATACATTGGACTAGAAAGTACGCCTTTAATTCCATGAAATTCTCCACCACAGCCTAAACCATTACTATTACCCATGTAAAAAAAATCTACATCAAAGTCTCCATCAGCATTCAGACGTTCAGCTTCAATAGTTACTTTACTTGATTTCAAAAACACTTGATATGAGCTGTAATATGTTTCTTTCACACAAATTTGATGTAAAAGCTCGTTGGATTTCGTATCAAACATCTGAAATTAAAATAGCAGGTATGAACAAAAAAAATAACTTTCATTGAAATATTGGGGAGAATTAATACTACATCATTACATATTTTTGTATATAATTTTAAATTTACCTTAATAGTTTGAGAACAGTTTTTTGTTACAGTATTTAAACTTCTAATATCAAAATAAAGTGCCATAGTTTTAGAATCTTCAATTTCGACGTTAAACCGGCACTTGCCTTTAACGGCGTATTCCACATATCCAGAAGCTTCAATGAGTGTCATATTACAAACTAAAATTAAAAAGAGAAATATTAAACTAATTTATAAGACTTTGATTTTTAATATATAAGATTTGTGCAATTTTGTTTTATTTTTTTTAGCACTTTTCCAAAAAATTTTTGAAAAAAGTGTTTGTTAGTTGCATTTTGCCCGTCCGTCCGCCCGTGGACATGTTTACAAAACTTCTACAGCCTTGAAGATAGAAAGCTGAAATGTTTTATGTACATAGATCTTTACTAGAAACTTATTTCCGTAGAAGAAAATTTTTACCTATCTCCCCCCCTCTAGAAGTTATGCCCCCCCAAAACCCTAAAAATTCCATTTTTTAACTAGTTATTGCAGCGAAACCATAAGCATTTTTCAAATTTTGCAAAAACAGAAAGGCAGTTGCTTGCTTTTTCTATCGCGGCATACTACAGCTAAACTTTAAAAAAATAAAATGGACGTTAAAATTTACCGTTATCTAAATCTGTTTTTCCAAATTTTTGATGTCATTTTACTCCTAGACCCTAGGTTGTGAAAGCGTAAAATTTTAACAACTTTTGGACACTAATAAACACTTCATTTCATCAGAAGAAGACTCTTCCCACCTCCACCCCCTCTCAAGTTATCGCCTCTCGAAATTTGTAAAATTTGAATTTTTGTCACCTTATATTTCCAAAACTGCAGGCTTTTTCAAATTTCTGTAAATGCTGTAAGCTTTTATAGAAATTTGAAAAAAAAAATATATTTGAAAAAGAATAATAAATAATTATTTTTCTTAACTCATGCAATTAACCCTTTAAATCGAGCATTTTTTTAACGCTTCTCTAAATTTTTTTTGCTTTATTTCAAAAACTACATAAATCGTTCATCCCAAATATATACAATCGTAGAAATAGTTTCGTATATGAATGAAAATAATTTTACTAAACAGTATAGTAGGTATACATAGATTGCTTTTAAAAGCAATATATTCACTTATTGAAGGGAAAAGTGCTACAATACAAACACCATTGGTTTGACCCAACTTTATTAATGTTGACTTTTGTAGGGACTCTGTTTTGTTTCTTACCAAAATACAAAACAGAAGTAGATTCTGACAATAATTTTGTTTGATGAAATGCTTAGTAAAAAGTAGAATGTAAGCTTAACGTCAAAAAATTCGAAATTTGGCAGTCACGCATAGATCTTTGTATTTCGTTATTTCTGATTTTGATTAATAAATAATGAAATTTTCCCAGAAAAGTCGTTTTTATAATTTTTCAAATTCTCACTTTGGCAGGTCGGAAACTAAAGATCAGATATAAGTATTTAATGATTATTTACTTTATGTTTGAAGTTATTAGCATTATTTACATGCAGAAAAAATTTTGGAACGATTTTTTTCAACAGGATATAGCTCGAAAACTAGTACGTCTGAAATATTTATGTAGCATTTAAATAAAAATGCTTTAGACCAATGATCGCAATTATGTGGCATGCGTGCCATGATTGGCACGCTTCGAAACTTTGCTGGCACGCGTGATTAGTTGATATTGAAGAATATATCTGATATTTTTGTTTTTATTTTTGTTGATTGAATATATTTAAGTTTTTTTTATATAAATTTATGTTTAAATGTAAATAAAAATGAAATAATAAATGAAATAAATAAAAATTAATATAAAAACGAATATAAGTATTCTGATTTTCAATACTACTTAATTTTATGGAATAGATTCGGCACGCCGAAATATTGGTTTGAAAAAACACATCTTTTTTGGCACGATACATAAAATCTTATTGCGATCACTGCTTTAGACCTTTAGTCTTGCTACGATTTTTAAGTTACCTTTTTTTAATTGTATTTTTAAATAATTTTTATCGTAAAACATCGTATTTTTGCAGATTTATATTAGATCTAAGTTAGCATTGAATTGTTGAAAATGCCCAAGTTTTCTTCAAACATACACATATTTCTTTCTGAAAACATTTTGGAAAGAGGGATATTGAAACAAGTTTTTATTTTCACTTTATCGAAAATATTCTAAATTTATTTTTAGTGCAAAATTCTAAAAAAGTGCTCTTTAAAATACTACAATAAAATTTATCCACACTTTCTGGTGAAATATGTTCCTTTTGTCTTCCGTTGCTCATTTTTTTGCAATTATTATTTATGAATGTCCCAAAAAGAATTTAGGTATTTCTAAATAAGCTATAGATTTCGTGCAAATACCATTCAACATGGTAATAAGAGTTTTAAATAACTAAGAGTTTTAATAACTTTACACTTTGGAGTTGGAACGTTTATGATCCGAAATAGCTCCCCTGAGCCTTTTTTGGACACAGTCAATGGGAATAAGTTGGATAAAAAAAAGTTATGAGAAATATACACTAAAAAGAAAGATTTTTCAGAATCGCCTGAAAATATTTAATTAGAATTAAAATTCCAAGTTCACAAAAGTTTTGAGAAGATGATGAAAATTTCAGCGGATCATATAATGGCTTAGTGATATTCGAGAATTGCAAAGAGGAAATTGTTTGCTCAAAAATTTTCTTTTACAAAATTGGTTTTGAAGCTTCAGTTGTGCTATTTCTAAAAGTTATTTCAAAAGAAATACATGAAAAAAGAATCTGATGTGCTCAGCACATAACCGACCGCATTGTATATTGTCTAGTTAAGTGAAAAGGTTACAGAATATTATAAAAATGTCTTTTAAATACTTCTTTCCAATTTTTAAGACATTAGTAAGCTTATAGTTAACACACCTAGAAAAATGTAAATTTGGCTCTTAGTAGAGTTTCGCTTTGTGCTACCCGAATTCCCTGAAATGATCGCCAGTTAACCAGAACTCAAATATTAAATTTCAAGAAATTCGATCAATTCGTTCCGTAGATATGGTGAAAAATGTAAAGTCGGCCTGCAATTCAGTTTTCGAGCCCTGATCTTTCCAAAAAATTTATGTGTTTATTGTTTTAATACGAGGAATTCAAATACTAAATTTCAATGAAATCGGTCAATAATTTCTCTTTATATACGCAAAAATGTATATTTGGCCCGGACGGTCCAGAAAAGCTTATATATGAAATTTCAAGTAAATCGGTTGAATACTTTCTTCAAAATGTTCAAGAATGTAAAACAGGCCCGCTAAAAAGTGCAGTTCGCGAGGCCTGATATATCCCAAAAGTTGATCAATCCGTGCCATGGTTGAAATAAACTAACATATAAAATTTCATCAAAATAGGTTCAGCAGAACTTGTATCGCGTGCACACACAGACCAACAGACCGACACACCGACGGACCGACAGGTTGCTAAAAATAGTTTACTTACACTTCCCTACTATGGAGAAGTGCATTCCCGCCGAAAATTCGATATGCAAAATTTGTTGCCATCACATAACCTATACCTATTATTTACACAATACGGTCGGTAATAAGCCATATACCGGCAAAGGAATTTATAGTTTCGAAAAAAAAATGGTTGTTTTTTAATATACCAAAAAAATCGAATAATCTTCTAACCGTTCCCAATTGCGTTGCTTTGATACTGATTATGTGTAACAATTGAAATATTTTAAAAGTTTAACGCAGCTTTCAATACACAATAATATATATAAAAAATTGTTATAAGTAACTTACCTCCCTTTTCCTTTATAATTAATTTAAATCCACTTTTTTGTATTTCGCTGTTCGACTTAAAAATAAGTTTTGTTTTCTCCATAGTATATTCTGAGGCATATACATTAACATTTGCTGGAATTTTGTTTGAGCAATATACTATATCCTGTTCAATATTTCCTTGGCTCTGGAAATAGTAAATAAAAGTAAATAAAACAAATATAAAGCATATAAAATAAACAAAGATTGTTTGGAATTCAATTACAATTTTGAAGTTTTAAGAATATTAATTGCACATTTTCCAATTTGAATAGCCTTAAAACATATCGTTAAAACGTATCGTTGGTAAACAAATCAAAAATATTTTTTGAACAAATCTTAAATTTTTCTTTTTCACTTTTAACTTCTTTTTTCAATTTTAACTTCGCGGAAGTTAAATTAGATTGAATACATTTTGATGAAACCAATGGTTAAACTAGTAAAAATACTGTTTTAAAAACAATTATTTCGATTACTATTATTGATATATGTACGGTTAATTAAGTGAATTAAGAAAAATAATTATATTTCTTGATTACGCCGAAATTCAAAATTTAAAAAATTTAAGGCGCCGAAATTCAAGCAGCATCACCTGGCAAGGACACTAAAATAAGAATCTTCGACGCGTGCGTCAAATCGGTGCTTCTATCTGGCAGTGAAATGTGGCTAATAAAGAAGAGCTATAAGGCAAGGGTGTAGACCTTCGTAAACAATGCATATGAATAATTTTCGGAATATTCTGGTTAAGAATAAGCAATAAAGGTCTTTGGGAATTAATAAGACAGGAGCCAGCATACATCCAGAACAGAAAGAAGAAATGGGACTGAATCGGCCACACTCTCTGAAGGCCAGTAAATAATATTCCCTTGAATGGAATCTGCAGGCAAAAACGAGAGAAGGCAGACCCAAAGAAACATGGCGCAGATCAAAATAAAAAAAAAGGTCCCAAAAAAAAAGCAATAGCGCAGAATAGAATCAGATGGAGAAACTTTGTAGATTTCTTATGCTTCCAAATGGAATAGAAAACGGAAGAAAAAAAATCATTTTAATTAATATTCAAAATGAGGAACAATAAATTTGAATCAGTGGCAATTGTTGAATAACATATGTGATTCATTAAATGACACAATGAAAGCTGATCATAAAAATTAAACCAACAGAAGGTTTTTTTCAAGGATTAAAAAACGCTATTATGCCAAAAATGCGCTTGCCATAATCTTTAAAAACTCAGTGCAAAGCTAAAATACTAAAATTGGGTTTCTATTAAGTTATTCAATAGTAGTTTGGCCACATCTTAAGAAATATTGCAAACTCAATACTGAAATTTTGCATAAATTAATATGGTAATACGGCATTTTAAAGTCATAGTCTCTCCCACTATTTTAGTTTCCATTCTCATTTTAGGTTCCAATACAACCTAAAATGAGAAATAGAGACAAAAATCTAATTTGTATAACGAGCTGTAAATTGTTTTTTAAATTTTCTATACAGGTCCGAAAAAAGTTAGTATGTTTCGCAATTTTCCAATTCGCTTTTAGTAATTGTGGAGTTACCGTTGTTTGAAATATTTTTGGCTCATTTTGAATTTCTGATTCTAAAAATCTAAATTCATTTTTATATAAGTAGATGTGTACATACATATGTTTTATATTTTTTTTTTTATGTAGAAAATAAAAAAAAATTGTGGTTATTTGATGTTTGATATATTACGGAAAATTATTTATTCCTTCTTCAGCTAAAATTAAAATACAGGTTGAATACAACAAGTCGGCAGATCAACGAAGAAGAAGACAAGTCGGAAGACAGATCTAAATGCAAAGTGATTCGTAAAAATACCTATACTTACGACTGTGTACGGTCTTATTATTTCCAGATAATCATTACAAATACCAGTTAAGGGAGACACATCTTCTAAATCAAATTTGTCGAATTTAATTTGAAAACTTGAATTGGTGTTAATGCGCCACTCACAGTAAGTATTTGGTGGATACTCCGGATAATTTGGTGATGTTACAATATACTCCTGCCAAAGACAATATATAATTACCCATTAAGTATTAAGAAAGACCTCATATATACTTTTTTGTCGTATAAATCGATATTTCGCGTACTGCATATGTTTGCTTTCCTTTTAACTTCATATTTGAACCCAGTACCGGCAATTGAATTATCAGTGATAAATTTAAGTGTTAAATATTGTTTTGAAGATTGAATTATTTTTGGTGAACTATTTCCGCAAAATTTCCCTAAAGATTTTTGGTACGTGTTGGGGCCATCAAATACTTCTAAATAATCACATTTGCATCTTTCAATATCTAAAGTTAGATTGGAATTTTGTGTTTGTGCACAGTCCTTCACGTCAAAGTCCATGAATTCGATTAGTATTTGGAAATCGGGGCTTGTCGTAAAATATATCTGGCAAAAAAGATTACTTTCGTAGTTTCCATTCATGAAATAGTAGTCAAATTCAATGTGAGAACTTTTCTCTACTGTTAAATTTAGAAATTTATCACATTTAGGAATAAAAGATATATCTGCAGCAAATCCTTTAAATGACATATATGAGTCTGATTTAGTTACAATCAATGCATTACCGGAAGTTTTTGTTATAGGGATTGAAGAACCAGTGTGATTTCCACACAGTAATAATTTTCTAAATGAATCAATAGCTTCTGTTGAATTATAAATTGCAATGTAGTCATCCATACATTTGTAATTGTTTTCGTAATATATATAGCTGAATTGAATCTGTATATCTTTATTTGGTGGAGCCGTAACTAACCATATGCAATCCATTTGAGCAGGATATCCTATTCCTGCAAAACAAAAAATTATCAGGTTCAAATGAAAAAGTCGCTCATTGTTTTTGTTAGGAAGTTCAATGAAATGTTAATACTATCTGCATTTCAAACTATTGATATGGCCATAGATAGAAGTGAAAATAATAACTGTTTATAAATCGTTCAATAAATTTATCACAAAAACCAGTCTGGTATTGCTAAATGTAGCCGTTTTTGCTAAGTGTTTGTTTGGAGAACGATATAAATCTAAAAAATTATCCATGAGCTACCCAGTAAGAGTAACCTACTACTGATGAGAACTACTACTACTGATGACTAATGAATCAAATAATTGGAAATAAAATTATTGAAAATAAATTCCGAAAATACTATTATTCTATGGAATAACTACCTAATTTTCTTTTAGTTCTTTACATTTTAAATTCACGTTCATTCTAATCATAGCATTGATGAATACATGCATATATGCATAATTTACATAAATATATGTACAGAGAAATAATCAACTAATTTCTTCGAAATTTAATAAAGTTCAGAATATTAAAACAATGAACTTATAAGATTTTTGAAATATCGGAGCTCGGAAACCGAACTATGGGCTACTTTACGTTTTTTACCACATCAACGCAACTAACTTGCGAAATTTCTTGAAATTTAGTATTTAAATTTGTTTGTTACCGAAATTAACAGACGAACTTTTCAAAGAATTCAGATAACAAAAAGTGAAACTTTACAGAGCCAAATTTACATTTTTCTAGGTATGTAAACTAAAAGCTTAGTAACGCTCTTAAAATTGGGAAGAGGTATTTAAATTTTCATAATCTTTTGTAACACTTTCGTTAGCATATTGCGGTCGGTTATGTGATGGTCACATCAGTTTTTTGTATTTGCAATAACATATAAATGTGATGTATGTATTTTGTATAATTTGAATGCAAAGTTTGAAATCATTGTATCTGTGTATCATATACAATGATTTCAAACTTTCAAAATCGTTTAACTTTAAACAACCCTCTTTGAGTGTCACTATATTCTTGTAAATCTATGGAAACATGCTCTTACCATTTTCATCCATAGGGCTGTGAATCCTTGTTGGTTTAGTTACATTTCCTCCACAACTTTCGATGTAGAAATCAAAAGAAAAATCATCGGTATATAGCTGTCCTTCATATATTAATGTGATATATTTCTTAGTTCTAATTTCGTTTTTCAAAGGATTAGTTTGACAATATACTCCAATTTTTTTCTGGGAATAATCTTTTTCATAGTAAACCGAAAGTTTTGAATAATAACAGTCTCGTCCTGATGCATCGGAACCAACTTTGAATTTACTAAATTTTGCTACTATAATGTTATTGCTGTCGGTAACTAAAGTGTAATTGCATTTGATTTGATATCTTGATGTGTACCAATCAACAGGACTTTTAATTGTTTGTATATTTTCAGTTACATTATAGACTCCCCCACAAAAATCAATGAATTTAATGTTAAATCCATCGCCAACAATTTTGTCGTCGCTACGAAACTTTATTTCATACACCGAACTTGTGGAATTTATTGTTACAGGAGATTCCCGTCCACAAAATTTCGGATATTGAATCCATTTATTATCTATTGATAACCTTTTAATTTCTAAATAATCATCCGTGCAGTTCGGATTTGATGGGATGAAAAATCTGTACACAAAATATTAATAGACATTTGAAACTTTATTTTACGTAAAATTAAAAACATATTTCAAATTTGTATATTACAATTATATTTACAATATCTTATACTTTCGACAAAAACTGTATGTTGAAAGCAAGAATAATCCAAACTGAAAGTGCTTGTAATGTAAATATAAAATGTAGGATAGATACTTTCAGAAATAAGTTATTGTAATTTATCTTTGTATGTAGGTATATTTATAACAATTCTGGAATTGGTTAAGAGAGAAAAAATGATTTTTTTTGCGCATTCAAAAAGTTTGCAATAGCTTTATATAATTTTGAGTATTAATTAAACTTAATTTAAATAATGTGCTAGTAGATTGGTTTTAGAAGCAATATTTTCACTTGTAAAGATCTTCTTTACAAACCGTTGGTTTGGCTCAATTTTATTTAAATTTGAAAAAAGGGTTTTGAAATTTTTTTCAGGTATTTTCATTTTCAGGTATTTTAATTTCATGTTTCGAATTCTTCAGATTTACAAATTCAAATCAGAATCTGTATCCCAACCTGATTATTTTCTGCACTCTTTACATTAAAATGGAACTTGCTTTTATATGTATATTTTATTTGATGAACATTTTATTGAAGCATTATTGTCAAATTTAAATATGTATAAAAGTATCTGTTTTACCTGCCGAAAAACTGTAAAGCTACACTAAAGCCATCTTTTGCACGGTAGGTCCAAATGCATTCTAAATTATTTTCATAATCTTTCGCTTCAAACGAAATTAATGCACCTCGTAGGGTTGGAATAATATCGCGACCACACTCTTTTTTCCAACTTTGTGACACATTTAATTTTGACTTTCCTGTAAAATTTTCTGAATGGTAATGTGCAAGTAGGTAATTTCCATCTGGTACGAAATTAAAACTGTTGTTACCGCAAAGTTTTGTGATTAGTATATCGGATGGCAGTTCTCCATTATATATAGCGAGATATTCTTTGGTGCAATCGGTAAATTCAAAGTTAGATACAAAAGTTAAATTTTTATTTGTGAAATAATATTTGAAATTAAAAGTCCAAGCACAGTCAATACGACCATAGTTTGAGCTTACATTAATAGGTAATGTGAACAAATAAGTTTGTCCATAATTTACATATTCAGCGCCACACTGATGTTTCATTACAGAAATTTCGAAATTAAATATCTTGTACTCTCCAGAATTATGAAATTCCAATGTTGCACTTTTTCTAGATAGGGCTATGTCATAGTTAGTTATATTTTCCATAAAAGTTTTGTAATTAGTAAATGCTGTTTTAATAGAAATCGGTGCTCCGGTTCCATTAGATTCCAACAGTAGTAGGTTATTTAAACGAAATCCAATAGTTTCACCATCTTTTAACATAATATTCGATAAACAAAAGTATTTAGTTGGCAGATTCGAAACAGATACATAATGGGTTTGTAATACGTTTGCGGATAAATTAAAATCAGGTATGCAGTTTGACATTCCATAAGAATCAAAACTAATTTTAATTGATGAAACTATGCTTGGATAACCACCATCAAGTCGGATTAACATTCGATTATCCGTAGAATTTACGAAATCTGCAGTTGCATTTGTCATTTCGATAATTTTTGATTTACCACTGAAATCGTTGAAAAATCTAATTTTATGATTGCTATATCTGAAAAAGAAGTTAATTTGAAGTTAAGAGTAAGTAAAAAGTTTTTGAAAAAATATTGTGTAGTGAAATAAAATGAAAAAAATAACTGCTAAAGAGTTTTGCAAATTTTTTAAATTTTTTATAGAATTTTATAAGTCGTATTAATTTCGGTTATTTCGGGTGAAAAAATTAGGGATTGTATTTGGAATTCATGTAAGTTAAATAATGTGGGGTGTTGGCGATTATGAGTTTACCTGTTTAATTTAGTTAATTTCGTGACGAAATTACGTGTTAGTTAGTGTTAATTAAATTTTAGTCTTTTATTATTTCTTTAATGTATGTGTTAAAATTGCGAATACATTTTCAACGAAATTGCACTATAATTATGTTGTGGTTTTCATAATTCACATAATTCTGGTTAGAAATTGAGCTGCTTCCAGTAGTCCCAAATTATAAAAACGAGCATAATCAAAGTAAAGAAACTTGTATCAGTTTTTAAATTTTTTTGGAGAGGAAGTATTTGTTGAAATTCGAGTCCAGAAGGTTTTTTTGAAAGTTTTTCATAAAGTTGCTACAACAGAAAAATACAAAAGTGTTAGCACTTATAATAAAATAGAAAAATATTTAATTTTAAGGCAATATCTTGGGATATTAATGATGTTAAAGAAGTCCCTCCATAAGCTTCCGTAAGAATACGTTTAAATTCATCATTTTGGAATTGTTACTCTCTTTCAGGGTTCAAGCCTGTATTGCTGTCCTCGTGTATAAAATTATTGTTCTATTGTATAAAACTATTATATATTACGCTATTGTGTAAGCGGTGTAATCAAAGCAAATTGCATGATTTTCATAAAAAACATTAAATTTTACTTTTGATTTATACTTTATGAACAATGATAAATGTGAAAAATGATAATGATAATTATTATTGTAGTAGCCACTTTTTATTTAATAATCGAGATTTAACATACGTACATACCTTGTTTGCGATGTTAATTGAAGTTCAGTTATTTTCGCTCTTACTATTCGACCTTTTGGCACAGTTATTTGCCAGCGGCAATTAAAGAATTTTCTAAAACTCTTACGGGCTGTTAAATCACCTTCTTCTGCGTGTATATTTTGGAAGCAGGCACTTTGCCGTTTGTATGTTAGCTTGAAACCACGATATTGTGTTTGTGCGTTGTAAGTAAAAAATGTTATTCGAATGTTTCCAAACAGTTCCAAAAATTTTCTTGTATCGTTACCGTACAATAAAACAACTTGTTTTGAAACGTTGTCGTCAGCTGATATTTCCAAATGGTCACTTTTATTTAGATTTGAAGAATTAAAAGGTAAATCTAAATCAACAATAGTAATATTAACCCTGAAAAAGTTTCCTGTTTGTATTGTATAAATGCATTCAGAATTAGGAATATAACCTCCTTTTGCTGGGTAATTTAATGATTTTATTTCTCCAAAATAGAAACCTTCGACTAAAGTAAAACATTTAGCAATTGAAACTGAAGCAATAAATATATCAAGAGGTTCTGAAGTGTTTGCAAAATACTTTATCAATAATTTGTTACTTGATGACTGAGCAACTATACTTTTCGTAGGTTTTCTGCAATAACGACCTATTTGCGGAGCTAAGTTTGTGGAGCCATCTCGAATTTGAATATATTCGTCTATACAATTAATTCGATTTCCGTGTGTGACAAATTCCGTAAACTGGACGTTAATTGTTGTTGCAGGTGGTGAAGTAAAAGTCCAAGTACATTCAGCGTATGGATGTGGCATTTGAGGATAGTTTGGTGATTCTATAGTTGTTGAATTGACTTCTAGGTTCAAGTGAATTTCATCCCCACACTCATTATGCTCTCGGTATGATAATTTCCAAGGTATTTTTAAATTGGGTTTTCTTTGGAATTTCACATAAGCTGTGTTTGAAATTGTAGTTAAATTTGCAAACTCCAAATTTGCATTAGAACAAATTCTTCCCGGTTGCATTATAGGACCGTCTTCATCTATTCCATTACGTATCACTGCATAGGCATCTTCGCATTTATCGTTTCCCGAATTGTAGAACAATGTTTCAAAACTAAAATCAAATTTAAATTCGATTTTCCGACCTCTTTGTACTTTTATTTTCCAAGCACAAGTTACATCACCCAGCATTGCATTCCAATCAAGAAAACCAGCAGATTCAGTCAAAATACCACCACATTTTGATGTAACAATAGATGTGAAACCTGGTCCCTCTGGATTTTATAAAATAAATTACGTTGATTACTAACAAAAACTATACTCTGTATAGAACAAAAAACAAATCTAAAGCATGTTCTTAAAAAAAATATATTGTGTAACATAAAACTTGGTCTAAATCTTTAAATTACTCTTCACTATTTTTTATTTTGAAAAGTAGCACACAATGAAAGCATATGTATCTATACTTATTCATATCGTATATAAGGTATACGAGACTTAGTAACTTGAAAGCAGAGTGATAGAATACATTCAGATGAATAGAAAAAAATATTAATAAATGGCGTTTGATTTTTCCCCCCTTCCCGAGTTGATCTTTGTGAAAATCGTCAAACTTTTACTTTGTCACTAAAACTCGAAAAATATGATAAGTTAAATAAACTTTGTCAAATTATGAGTTAGAGCTATTCAAATGGCGTTTTAGTATTTGCCTTTGTTTTGTTATTTTGTTAATCCTAAGAATTTTGCCATTATTTGGTATTAAAACAAGTAAAAACGTTTTAGTCTGTCTAAAATGGCCGAATTATACCCTTTACCTTGACAACCTAAGTAAAAACTTCCTTTTCAAACATTTTGAACTAGCTCTGATGGTTATATGACAATTACTTGAACCTGTCAAACCATCCCATAAAAACGGTTATGTCAGGCCGATAATTGGGCCCATGACTGTCGAGTCTTATTAAATTAACTTAATTATTTTTTATTTAAAATAAGCTTTTGCAGTTGTATGGGAGCACCTGTCAAACTTTACCAAAAAAACTTCGAGTATATATTTGGGGTAAAATTGGATAGGCGACTGCCAAATTTCATGCAGCTAGTTTTGTTACGGGCTTCTTCGGAATCACCAAATAAAAGTTGTATGATTTGTACATGTTGTACTATTTTACATTTAAAAACTTAAAAATATTGATGTATCGTATTATTCCATTGCTTACTTTAATTAGAAAATTTTTTGTTTTAATTGATTTTAATGTAAAAATTTCTATTTTCCACTGATATAATACATTATTGTGCAGAGAAAAATTTTTGCATACACAATTTGACAAATATTTCAATATTAACAACCTCACAGACACAACATCAAATAAATTCTGATTAAGTCAATATCGAATAAAAACAAAAAGTGTCTGATGCGTCGTAGATGCAATTTTGAAGATACCTTACTTATTCTAACACTTAATATTGGCTTTTTAGGTTGTAAGGCAGCTGTCAAGTTATTCTATAACTCGAACCTGTCAAGTTATTCTATAAAAACTTTGAGGATATCTCTGCTCTATAATTAAACACATAACCAACAAGTTTCTTGAATCTGGTTTTACTGCGTTTCCGAACATATAAAATTGATCTTTGGAGTTCTATGAAAGCTACCATAGAACCAGTACAGCTATTCTATTAACATTTTTAGACCATATTTAGGATGTAATTCGACACACGTATAATTTCATATTTATACCTTTATTAGTATGCGAAATACTTAAAATAATCTTTTTGAGTAGTATAGCAGCGAATCGAACCCGTTTCTCGAATTGGTCCAACTACAATAGGATCCGTCCTTGAGATAAAAGAAACAACTTGTGAAAGTTTAATTTATGAAATTTTTATAAGTTTTAAGAAACTTATGAAAGTAAAATTTGCTTTATTCGTTTTTAAGTTATCATGGGATCGATCGAAACATGTCGAAATCAACGCAGTATTTTACGTTGAGCAAGATTATTTATACATGTCCATGCCGCAGTTATCTCTTCCAGGTAGTTACAAACTCTGTACCTAAGTTAATATACCCTTCACGAAGGTATATAATGAAGGTATAATAGAGTTCGACCAAACCAATGGTTTGTATTGTAGCACTTTTCCCTTCAACAATTGAAAATATTACTTTTAAGTCTATCTACCTACCACACTATTAAAATTATTTTCAAAACGAAACTATTTCTAGGATTGCATTTATTTAGGATGAGCGCTTTGTGCAGTCTTTGAAATAAAGCAAAAATTAATTTAAAGGGGGTTAACATAATGCTCGATTTTAAGGGTTAATTGTGTTAGTTAAGAAAAATAATTATATTTTTTAATGTCATGGTATTCACCATTAGCATTTTGCGTTTATAGAAATTTGCAAAAGCTTGCGGTTTCGGAAATATAAGGTGTAAAAAATTCAAATTTTACAACTTCAAAGAGGGAATAATGTGAGAGGGGGCGGAAATGGAAAACAATTTTCTTTTCAAAAACGAAATGAACTATTTGTTAGTGTCTAAAAGTTAGGGTTGTGGGAGCCAACCTGGGGTCTAGAAGAAAAACGACATCAAAAATTTAGAAAAAAAGGATTTTAAATAACGGCAAATTTGAACAGCCATTTTGTTTTTTTAAAGTTGAGCTATATGTCACGATAGGAGAAGTAAGCCACTGCCTTTCTGCATTTGCAAAATTTGAAAAATGCTTATGGTTTCACTGCAACAAATGGTTAAAAAATGGAATTTTTAGAGTTTTAGGGGTGTATAACTTCTAAAGGGGGAGAGATAGTTAAAAGTTTTCTTCTACGGAAATATGTTTTTAGTAAAGATCTATTTACATATAAAATTTCAGCTTTCTATCTTCAAAGGTGTAGGAGTTTTGTAAACAGACACACGGACAGACGGACGGACTGAATGAAACTAATAAGCACCTTTTTTTCAAAATTTTTTTTGAAAAAGTGTTAAAAATGTATAAAAACTGAGCCAAAAAAAAATATAGACTTAGAAATTCATAAAGAAAACGTGAATATTTTATTTTTTTACTTTTCAACTTTGTAAATTCTACTTTTCAGTTTTTTGGATGAGAAATTTTTACTTTTCAGTTTTTAAGAATAATATACTGAAAATTACAAAAAAAGTGAAAATATTCAAGTAGGAATAAAAACCAAATAGTAAAATTATAATTTCTGACTTGAACCAATATTCTTTTTAAACGAGAAAAAATAGAGTTGACCTTGTCAACTCTGTGATACCCGTACGAATTTGCTATCTTATGTGCAAATAAATATGCCATGACTGACTATGGGACAGACCATGACTTTAAGTTGCCGTGTTACCATAATAATTTATGCAAAATTTCAGTACTGTATTTTCAATATTTTCTAAGATACGGCCAAACCACTATTGAAGTTGTATGGCAAGTACCAGAAGGAGTCAAGTAATTTGAACGACTTTTATCAGATGCATTAGCTCTACTTATATATTCGTTTGTGTGAAATTTCAATACAACATCTTCTATAGTTTCTGAGATATAGCCAAATAACTTTTGAAGTTGTATGGCAGGCACCAGAAGGAGCCAAGTAATTTCAACGACTTTTATGAGACACTTTGGCCCTACTAATATATTCGTTTGTGTGAAATTTTAATATCATAGATTTAATAGTTTCTGAAATATAGTTAAATAACTTTTGAAGTTGTATGGCAGGTACCAGAAAGCGCCAAGAAATTTCAACGACTTTTATGAGACATATTGGCCCTACTAACATATTCGTTTGTGGGAAATTTTAATACCTTAGCTTTTATAGTTTCTGAGATATAGCCCGAACCGGTACCCCGATCATGCCCAATTTAAATAGGGTTCTGGCACTTATTACAATAAATCATTTGTGAAAATTTGATAAACTTAGCTCAATTAGTTTTGGAGTTATCGTTGGGACGGACGGACGTACGGACGGATAGACAAAGCTAAATCAACTCAGAATTTGACGCTGATCAAAAACATACACTTGAGTCTATATCTAAGACCGTTATTTCTTAGTGTTACAAACGGTAAGGCAAATTTAGTAAACCCTTCGAACATACGTTCGTACGGGTATAAAAATTGAAAAAAATTTCACTTAAACAATTTTATGAAAAGCGTTTTTATGTGTGCGTATATTTATGAAAAATACAAACAATTTAATAAAAGAATAAAACGCAGATACAAATATTTTTGTTAGAAATACACATCATCACATAACATACTTATAACAAATACATAATTCAAAAATTTTGCAAAAATTCAAAAATTTTTAAATTCTTGAAATCATATTATTTAGTTCATATAATTTGATTTTCAACATTTTTTTCAAAAGAGAACTGTTTTTGCTTTTATTAAAAGTACTGACACTGTTTTAATGTGTACACATATTACTATAGTATGCGTAGACACTTGATATCTGATACACATAGATATTTGTTTTTTTATGAACAAAATAAATTAATTACAAATCGAAAGGATTTTTTATTAAAAGTAGTTAACAAAATTAAGGAAGTTGTTTCAAACTAATTAAAATGGTTTCTTTACTGTTTGTAAAGTAACAATTTTCCAAGTGAGAATACTGCTTTAAAAAAACTGGAGACCACATAACATTTTGCTCGAATTCAAGGATTAATTGCGTCAGTTAAGGAAAATAATTATATTTTTTGCTGGTATTTATTGTTAGCTTTAATTTCCTAAAAGCTTGCAGTCAAATACATAGATTGTTTTTAATAACAGTATTTTCACTTGTTAAGGGAAAAATGCTACAACACAAACCATTGGTTTGGCCCAACTTAATTTATTTTTTAAAAAATCTGTTTTGATCAAGTAAATAAAACCCAAAATATATGTAAGTTTTTCTTTTCTTTTTATAAAATTAACTTACCACTGTATACATCTGAACGCAGAACTAATTTTAGAAAAGGTTTTCCATGTACTACAAAATAAGGTGTTGATTTGAAAGTCAAGTTACAAGCTACTTTTTCTTCAATCCATATCGATAAATCTTCTCCACTAAAAATTTTTAAATAGTCAGCATAACAATCTGGAGTAACTTCTAAATCAGCTGCATGTAATGCTAAAGCTACATGATCAGTGTGCATTTTTGGTTTAAATATCCATTCACAATTTTGATTAGATTCGTAAGGGTTGGGATAGTTTGGAGAGGAAAAATTTTTTTCAACATTTTGAGGAATTTCAATGATGTCACCACATTTTGTTTTATTCTCAGCTATTTCGTCTTTCTCGACAGATCTCCATTCAATTAAAAATTGATGCAGCTTTGAATTTTCAGCGACTATATAGGCAAAATTAGATGTAGATATTAAAGTAAGAGGCGAATGAGAAATTTTCTTTTCACCCGCGGTTCCATCAAACCCATCGTAAAACTAAAAGCATAATGGACTTTAATTAAAACTGGGTTTTTATATACATATTGTAAAAAAATAAATATTTACTTACTATTAAAATATTTAAAATAGTATTAAGAAAAATTGAAAGGGATATGTTTTTTGTTTGAGTCTTTGCTTTGAAAATGTGATTTATTATTTAATATTTTAAAAACTAAAGGTATAAATATGAACTAAAGGTATACTTGTAATTTTCAGCAGGTTGAAATGACGGGCAGGTTTTTAAGTGACTTGGTTTTAAAGAAAAAGTCGATTCAAAACATTAATAGCTTATGGGAAAATAGCTTAACAATATAGAAAAATATTTACATATCAGCAAAATTTAGCGTTTAAGTTTTTTATTTTGAATAGAAGTGTTTAAAAAACCGCATTGAATCTATCGAAAATGTAGCAAACTAATAAACAAACTAAAGAATTTTAAAGATAACGCATATTATGTATATGTAATGTTAAATGTATGTATAAAAATTTTATTGTTATAGGTTTTATCTTATTTGGTATCTTAATAATTTTTTTCTTATTCAACCATATGGATGCAATCCTCAAATATTGTAAGATGATCAAAACGACTAAAATTTGAATGAATTTTGCACGAGCTATTGTAGTAATAATTCAAAATAAATCGATTTTTCTTTCCCTCACGGATTGTGTAGAAAAAAAGATTCGGACAATCTGATCAACTAATCTAATCAACTAATAGACAAATCTAATCAATTAATATTTAATTTCATATGTTTGTATTCGGTTTCAAATTTCGTTTTGTTTTTAAAACTTCCCTAAAAAAATCAGTTATTACAAAAAATCGTATTATAATATGTATGCTTTTAAGCATCTGTTCTAGCAGTCACTGTTCTAGTATTTCAAATTTTCACTTAATTCACTAAAATATTGGAATTTTAAAGCAATCAGATATCATTTAAATTAGTATCGTGTGTATTATATTAAGTGTCATTAATTTAATCAACTTAGCAACATATTTTTAAATTCTTAATATAAAAAAATTTAAGTGAAAAGAAAATGAACGTGTTCATGAAGCAATAGCTAGAACCACGGGAAAGAATCTGAAGCACTTTTTATTTTTTATTTTTCGTGCAACAGAAAGTTTGTCAATGTTGGATTAATTGGTTTAAAAAAAGTTACCGGACTTTTCCTGCTTATAATTAATGTTTATAACTTCGGAGCTATACAACATGGAGTTGTCATTAGGAGCTTCTTTTACAGGCGACTGATTGTTCTTTATTTTTTGTCTGACAATTAAAATGATTTGAGCCATAATTTTCGCGATACAGCTCAAACAAACTGACAAAGTCGAAATTTCTCGAAAATATTTGTTAATTTTTTTTTTCTCGATGTGCTAAGTGAGATCAACATATTTAAAAACATGGAAAATGCATTTTTCATACATTTTTTATGGAAACAACATTCGCAAATATATTTAAGTTTAGTATGTATAATTTGGAATTTGTAAGAAATGCAAAAAAACCCATACAATTTTTTGCTGGAAATCGATCAAAGAATCATCGCCAAAATTATTTACCACCTTATGCGAAACATCCTGTGTATATGTATTTGAAAAAAAATCACAAAATAAGTATATGTACAATATCTACCTGTAATCCTTGAGAGTATTCTTTGAAATCAAAAACTAATACTTTTCCCAAATCAGTTATTATGCGCCAGCTAAACGGATCAACTTCTTCATTAACATTCTCAAGTGGCGGATTAATTATAGTTCCCTTTGAACCAACTTGTTCTGTAAATATTTCAACATCCCTTTCTGAAAATATGTGAAGTTTACAAAATAATTTTGCAACGAGTCTTAGCTAAAATATTTTATTTTTTTAAAATTAGATTGATTTTGAATATTTACTGTACTCATAGTGTGCTAAAAATCCTGCTCCCCCCACAGAAGTTGAGGAACTTTTAAATTTCAACCAAGCCAATTCATACAACTCATAAGTTTTATTAACAATATCATTTCCACATAATACAGCCACAAATTTACCATTGACCGCACCTTCCCTGATTTCAACGTAGTCCTCGTTACAATGGTCAGAGCTAACTAAATCAAACTTTGAAAATACGATTTGAATTATATTCCCTTTTGATACCTGGAAGTAGTGCAAATGATATTTATGATACATGGGTATACTTAATCTTTCTTATAATTTTTATGTTTACCTTGATAGTAGTTTCACATTCGAATCCTGGTTTGTAAGGATAAGGATATTGTGGACTTGCAAATTGTCCCTTAAAAGAAACTAATTTAGCATGACACATTTTTTCAAACGTGTTATATATAGCGAAAATTGACTTTACGCCGGTTCCAGCGTAAATTCTAAACGAGTCACCAAAACTTGTGATCATATGAGGTGGATGCTTGCAGAAGCTTGCCCGCAAAAGTTGGTCTTCATATATCTGTAAGTATTTTTTAAGGCATTAAAAGACACTTCAGCTCAACTCAGCAACGTTACTGCTTTTGTTTTCTTATTTAAATTTGCAATTTAAAAACTAATATATGCTAACCAACTTATGACTTAATTACGTACATATAACATATTTTAAATTCTTTCGCGACAATAATGAGGTTTTTAATTCATTAATTTTTTTAACTTTTCCTCGATTTATAATTTTTCCGATAGAATTACCACATAATTATATTGTGTGCATTTAGGGAGAAAAATATAGAAGTAATTTTTACTGAAAAGAAATGTTCACATCAAAATAAAAAATCTGATGTTACAGAAGATTACGAAAAAGCATACAATTCCTAGAAAAATTAATCATATCTTGGAAGTTAAATCGTGAAGTATTTAAATTCAACATAAAGAATTGAAGTAAAGTCAACATAAAGGAGCTACTATTCTGACAAAATTTGGTCGTGGTTCGGTTTTTAATGTTTGAACACTTTTTTTGGTTTGTAAATTTTTCACTTGCATTTTTTATTTGTTAATTGTTAAATTATTGAACAAGAATTTATGCTCCAAGTTTATAAATTCTCCCATTACTTCTAATTTATTTTTTTTATTTCATTATAGAAAAACGGAATTGTCTCTTTCGTTTTATTTTTACTTGAAACTTAGAAACCGAACTATCAACTAATATAAAATGATATGTGTTAATTTGGTAACTTTTAATATAATTCATTCAAATAAAATAAAATTGGTCATTATATTGTAAACTATAAAGGTTACAATATTTAAATTATTAATAAACGATTCTAGTAATATGTTGCAGTTGCACAAGTATTTACTACAGTTGTTAAAAAACTCTTAAAACAATTTGCTTATATTTTTAAAATTTTAAAGGCTAAAACAAGTTTAGTAACAAGATCTAGACAATCTAGTAAAATGTTAGCGGGCACTAAAGGAAACTACGTATGCGTATCACAGAGTTGACATGAAATATAATGCAAAAAATTGAATTTCGTCAATATTTCATTTTGGAAGAAAAATCGTCTATAATTTGATGTGGGATTGTGAAAAAAATCAATCTATGTATGTATGTATGTATTTAACAAATTTGACAGGCGTATACCTAAATGTGTTATCTATTTACATAATATGTAACCTACCTGCATTCCTTTAGTGCGTTCACAACTAGTTTCGTCTGAATCACCACAAATACATATTATTTTTGAAAATCTAAGATTTAAATTTTCTGAAAAAGATATAAAATATGTATGTTTCATAAATATGTATATAAAAAAAACATTGAATAGAAGAAGTTTTGCTGATATACTTTACCCATATTTTGAATAAGTTTTTGCTGGTAGAAATCAATTAACAAAATAATGATCTATAGCTATGTAAAGAAAAATTTCTAAAAGAACTTATGCATGTTCTGTATCGAATTATGTTGTTGAAATACAAATTAGAAATATTTGTCAAAAAGTTTTTAGTGTGTGTTTGAGTTCATGTTGGGAGACCGTACTAAGATTTGAAAATGTAGTTCGTTTTTGTGACAACATTGCAAAAAGTTTATCGTTTTAGAATGGTAGAAAAGTGTAAAGAATTTTGAAAGATTTAACTACTCTAAGAACTTATGTGACAGTTTTAATTATAAAGTGAAGATGGAGGAATCAATATGTGTAAGTAAATATTTTAATTCTTTTAAATAAATTTTAAAGGCACTATTTAGTTTCAAAATTTAATTATCATTTATTCAGTGACACTAGTGTTTCTAAAAGTAGAGCTGTTTTCTTCGGCTTGTTCGGCTTCGGCCAACATAAACTCAAGCTGTATTTTGCAAAATCGAGCTTAATTTTTATTTTCATTTTAGTATTGAATTCATAGTAATTTATATTTTTTTTCGTCAGCAACATTTTCATTTTCAGTCTTGACTTAATACTTTAAAGTTGGTATAAGAAAATTATCGAGATAAAATATAAATAAGGAAAAGAAAAACAAGAAAACCCTACATAAGCAGTTTGCTGAGAAATTTAACGAGAATAACTTATATCAATCTAACACAAATCTAACCTTAAAACTATCAAAATAGAAAAAAAGTTAAATTTTGTCATATTTTCAAAGTTACATTTCTGAGAATATACAGGGTATGCCGCACTCAATGATATTCCCGAAGCAGGGTGATAGAATGCATGCAGACGAACAAAAAACACCTAGTAACATTTTCTTTTTGGGCCCTTGTTCTCGAGTTATGATGCCTCAAAGTTGGAACATACAAACACTTTCTAATTTTCACATCTTTATTTTATTTTTTTTTTTTCCTTTGTTCACTCCTAGAAGGAGCATAGGGCTAGTGCATGATTTCTCATGCACTAGTTTCATAGCGTCATAGGGTTTAACTAGGTAGGTGACTAGCCTGCCGTAGTTTTTATTTATATATTAATTATTTGAGGTTATTAATATTTACTACGTATTTATTTTTCTCAGTTTTTTTTTTAATATCGAATATTAGGAATATTTTTTGAAAATTACTTGTACAATATTTTTATTAGTATTGTAATTAAGTTATAATAATATTGAATATAATTTTTATAGTGACCTGACCGGGGTTTGAACCCGAGACCCTTTGGTTAAAGGACCGGTGCCATAACCACTGCACCAATGGTCAGATCTTTATTTATAACTCGGGAAATATGATAGGTAATCAACAACATTGTATATTCATTTTAATGAGTACATTCGTCTGAATGCATTCTATTACCCTGCTTCGGGAACACCATTGAGTCCCGGGCACAATGTATCTATTCTCAGAGTAACTTTGAAGAATAATCTCTGAAAATATACACATACCTTAGTTGTTCATATTATTTTATAAAACTTATTATTATTGACTATAATTTTATAAAACTTATTCTGTTGCCTACGAATTTTTTATAGACAAGACACTTTAAGTAATAGTACAGTAAGACAAGTTACTTTAACAATTTTCGTTACATAACATTTCCATTTTAATAAAATACTCTAATTTAGTTTTCAATACGGTCTATATGTTTAAAAGTTGTAGAACTTTTGAGAAACTTTCAGACTGGAAGTATGAAGAAAGACCTTATTAAATACTCATAAAAATTTTTGGTAAGATCATAACTTTGGGAGCTTGCAGAGGTTTGTTTTATTTGCATACATTATATATCTGTTAATCTTCTTACCATTATTAGAAGTTTTTAGTTTCCATTCACAATTGTCTTCGTCTAGTTTTTTAGTCAATAAACCACGTGTTGCTCCTTCTATATTAGCTCCACAAAGCTGAAATTATAAATTAACTGTTATATTTGTGAAAATACTTTACGTGCAATACTCACTCTTTTGATAGCGATATTGAACCCAGCTTTTTCAGTTGAATTATCTGAATGAAATTTTATAACCATTTTATGTGTAGTAGAGTTAAATTGTGATAGAATAGGAATATTATTTCCACAATATTTCCAAATTAAAGTATTTTCGTTTTGGTCATTAGAATTAAAAAGTTCTAAGTAATCTTTAGCACATAAAATGCTTTCTTCAATATCGGTAAATAGCACATTAATTTGAAATCTTTTGTTGAAAGTGCTAGTCACTGACCATTCGCAATCAGTGTTTGGATCATATTTTAAAGGAAAATTTGGAGAGCGCAAATGTATTACATCAGTCTCTACCAGTACATTTCCACCGCAAGCTGTTTTAATGTAGAAAATTTTTTTAATTAGCATTGAAAATAAAATAAAATTTTAAAATATGGGTATGTTATTCGAATTTTTGTACTTTTAAGAAATGATAATACATATAAGAATAATGTAAGAAAGCTAATCAATATAATACTGATGATGAAATAATTTTTAGCTAGATATACCGAAATGTTTACGTTTGTAATTTCTTTAAATTTGTATAAAAAGTAATGTAAACTTTAAAAAACCAAAAATCTTTTAGCACAGTCATTCGTATGATCACATGTCCGATGTGTGTATGCACAACTTAGCGATACTCTTGAATCAGTGTGGTAGAATTACAGACAGACGAACAAAAAATATCAATGAACATTATTTTACACTTTTTTTCCAACTCATGAAATATAGCAATATATGTATGTACTTTCTAAATCGAATTCGCAATAGTTTTTTTCTATTAAGTGAAAATTTATTCACATATTATGTCAGAAATTACACTAAAAACTGAATCTGTACATATATATGTATGTATATATTTAACTTGAAAATTTTATGTGTGTACATCGTTCAAAGTTTTTTGTATTTAAAATTTTAAGCTGTATTTGAAAAAATAAGTATCTAAATAAAAAATATGAACTAAAATTACCTAAGGATTTAAAATATGCATATGAAGTATATTGTTTCTATTCATAGTCACTTTTTTCATTCCAAAAGAATTTATGATTTATTAAAAACTTTTACGAATGCAATAGATTTATACGATAAAAAATATTGGAAGGAAAAATATTTTCTCGTAAAACTTATGAAAAAATATTGGAAGCAACCAACTAATCTGTGTAATTGGTAAATTATGAAATTTTAAAGTATAGCATATAAATCAAAACTTACTTTGTTTGTGAATGTTATAAGATGCTCGAAAATATTTTTGTTTATGAAATTCATTCGTCATAAAATAAATGTACATTAATCTTCCATGAGATACAACTTTAAAATTTTTAGCTCCACAAGTTTTTGTAATAATATCAGATCCCGTTTTGTCATTTGAAATCTATAAAAATAATTCATTTAAAGTAAAAAAAAAGAGAGGGGGAAATTCAAGGAACTTACCAGTAACCCTTCGTTTATCCAATCACAATTCTCAAGCCCATAATTTGCACTAACATTTAATTGCACTACATTCCCATAATCAGCTTCTATTGTCCACATACAATAAATGTTATTTGAATATGGGCTATTAAAAGACTGAATTAAACCCCTCTGTGACTTGAGATAACCTCCACATGTTTCAATATTGTATTCTATTCGAAAACCTTTTGCACTATTAGAATAATCGGAAAAAAACTTGATTCTTATGGAATCACCATCACTAACTATAGTTTTACTTTTTTCTTTACACAATTCATACGTTTTTAATGTTTCGTTATTTTTTAGCTCCGTTATTATTAAACGATCATAATAACAATCGGCGAGCGTACCTTCCAATTGTAAATGAGAAACCACCATTGTTATAGATTTACTTTTCTTGGAAACTATTGTCCATATGCACATTGAATTTCTCGGATAGTTATTAGGAAAATTCGGTGATTCAACTTGTCCTTGCAAATCGGTTAAAATTGAAGTACAATTTGTTTTATAAGTTAATAAAAATCTGGCTGGTTCGTCAGAAGATGTTTCGAAACGTATAAATAATTTATTACTTGTAGAATATATTGTTTGTGTCAATGATTTGTTTTCTAATGTGTCGTTTTTACAACCTATTGCAATTTTATTATATTTGACAGAGCCTCCATCATATATTATAAGTTTATTTTTATCGCAATCGTCAGGATCATTAATGTCCATAACAATTTCGGCAGTTATTTTAGATCCCGCCGAAACTGTTATTAACCAATTACATAACGCTCCGTTTTGTGTGATATCTGGATAATGTGGAGAGTGTATTGATCCTTCAAACGAATCTATATTTCCGCCACAACCAGTAGCAGTTTGTGCATAAGTTAAAAAGAATCCCTGATGACGAATACTATAATCTGAATGAAATCGTAAAAGTAAAAAGTTTGCTTGTGACGGTATTCTTGATGGTATTTTTTTTCCACAAAACTTTCCAATTAAAGGAGAATCATCACTTTTTCCGTTTCTTAAAAGAAATATTTTTCAAAAATTTATCTTCATAAATGTTTTGTATATTATAAAAAAAAAACCCACGTTGTGGGCTTGTTGTTTCTTTTTGTCAATATTTTTACTATAGTCTGCACCTTCGTGAATGGTATACAGGTATGCCTCGATAAATACGTATATGTATAATTTTCGGGATCGAATTTTTCTTACGTCACTCGTAAGTGAATTTATGTATATACAATTACGAGGCACACAAATTTTTAGGTTAAGAAATATAAGTACATATTAAAAATATGCAGATACAATTTCTAAAAGGAAAATGAACTATGCAATCTTAATTTAAAACAAGTAAAAACGTTTTAGTCGGTATAAACCGATTGAATTATACCCTGCACCTTTCGTTATTGTATAGCAATTACTTGAACCTATGAAATCAGTCTATAGACTGTTTCATAGGTTCGAGTAATTCACGGATATGTCTGACCTATTATTGGACATCCGACTGCCAAATTTCATGAATCTGACTTTATAATTTTTCCTTATATTTAAAATCAGCTTTTGGAGTTGTATGGCACGTACCTGAACCTGTAAAGCAATTTCATCAAAACTTCACAAATATATCTGATCTATAATCGGACACACAACTGCCAAATTTCATGAATCTGACTTTATTATTTTGCCGAATATAAAAAATTTGCTGTTGGAGTTGTATTGCAGCCACCCGAACCGGTGCAGCTATCCCATTATAATTTTTAGGGCATGTGTAGAATATAATTGGACACATGTATACAAAATTTTATATTTATAGCTTTATTAGTTTTTGAAATATTTAAAATAAACTCTTTGAGTTGTATGGCCCTTCACGAAGTGCAGGGTATAAAAAAGAATAAAGTTGGATCAAACCAATGGTTTGTATTGTAGCACTTTTCCCTTCAATAAGTGAAAACGCTGTTTTTAAATACAGTGTATGTATACATATCACACTATTAAAAATATTTTCATTCATGCACGAAATTATTTCTAGGATTGCATATATTTCGGATGATGCATATATGCAGTCTTTCAAAAAAAGCAAAAATTAATTTAAAGAGGGCTTAACATAATACTCAATTTTAAGGGTTAATTGTATGAGTTAAGAAAAATAATTATATTTTTTAACGTCATAGAATTTACCGTTAGCTTTCTGCGTTTAAAAAACGTCAAAAATTCAAATATTACAAATATCAAGGCGATAATTTCAGATGGGGTGGAGATGGGGTGGAGGAAAATTTTCTTCTAATGAAATAAACTATTTATTAGTATCTAAAAACGGATTTTAGATAACGGCAAATTTGAACGGTCATTTTGTTTTTTTAAAGTTTAACTATAGTAGGAGAAGCGATAGGAGAAGCAAGCCACTGCCTTTCTGCGTTTGCAAAATTTGAAAAATGCTTATGGTTTGATTGCAAGAAATATTTAAAAGGGGCTACTTTCAGAGGGGCGGAGAGAGGTAAAAATTTTCTTCTACGGAAATAAGTTTCTAGTAAAGATGTATGCACATATAAAATTTTAGCTTTCTATCTTCAAAGGTGTAGAAGTTTTGTAAACATGTCCACGGAAGATCAGAGAGTGAAAAATTTTTGAAAAAGTGCTTAAAAGCAGTTAATAATAAAACAACGGAAAAATTTATATAAAAGAAAAATGGTATTTAAATTTTTTTATATGGTATATCGAAATTATTTATATCGGGAGCATGTACATCAAGGGAAACCTGTATTCACCATGACATGGAGTTTGTAACCACTTGAAGGAATCGTCTCCAGCATGAACAAGTATATATAATCTTGCTCAGCGTAAAGTTGTGCAATGATTTGGCCATGTCTGTCCGCCTGCCAGTTCGTCAGAACGATCGCACGATAACTCAGAAACGAATAATGCAATGGACACCGAAGACTCTCACACGTTGTTTCTTTTCTGCAAAGAACGGTTGCTATTGCAATTGGTCCAATTCTGACAACGGGTTCAGGTAGCTGCTATACAACTTAAAGAGATTTTTTTTAATTATTTGAAAAACAAATAAAGATATTAATATCCAAATTTACAAAGGCAATTTACAATTACACTTTACATATGTTACAAAAATTTTGACGGAATGGCTGCGATGATTCGAGTAGCTGCCATACAACTCCAAAACCTAATTTTAAATATTTGGAAAAATAAGAAAGTCAGATTCACAAAACTTAGGGGTCGTGTGTCCAATTTCAGGTTAGATATATTCCTGAAATTTTGGTTGGATGGCTTGACACGTTAGGATAGTTGCCATGGAACTCCAAGTTCTAATTTAAAAAATTCACAAAAATAATAAAGTTAGATTCATGAAACTTGGCAGTTTGTGTCCAAAATTGGTCAGACATATCCGTGAAGTTTCTATAGAGTGTTTGGACAGGTTCGAGTAATTGGTATACAACAATGAAAACTAATTCTAGATATTTTAAAATTTTTAGACTCAGATTGTCTAGGTGCAGGGTATAATTCGGTCGGTTTATACTGACTGAAACATTTTTACTTGTTTTATCTTATTTTATGGCCGAATTATATATGTAGGCTTTTTAAGTAAGAAACTATCTTATTCCAATAGTTTTATATCTATAAAAATCTTATGTGAATTGACCGGGCTCTCCATCAGATGAGTCAGGTGTGTATGCCTAAACAACCCAAAGAAATTTACATTTCTTTGTGAATTAATAAATCAAAGAATACTGACAATATTACCAATAAAAAATTCGGTCATTGCCATGTTAATTAAATTTGGAAATTTCCAGATCTGCCAGAACTTAATATCACTTTTTAGTACTGAATATTTTGTAGGCACTTTAACTGACGATTTTTTCGCCTTCAAGAGATTTTATTATAATCAGTATTAAATTACATATGTATTTATTTTTGAAATTTGTTTTTAGCGATTTTAATTTTTTTTTAGCTGCTGTTGGGCGAAATATTGCAGCATAAGTGTCATCCTAGTCAGAGAGCGTCCGCAAGGATGGTATATTGTCATCCTTAATACTCCAATTGTGAACGAGCTACTTGGTTTAAAATCCAGTTGTGAACGGGCTACTTGGTTTTTTTGTTAGGGTAACACGGATACTATATTTATCAAGTCACCAAGCTCAGAGAGGAAATTAAAAATAAATTCCAAATTCATATGGAGTTTAAAAGGAAATTATTTATGTAAAGGAAATTGATTAATATTTTTACCTCTACTGATTCTACATATTTTATTTAATTTAAAATTTAAATTAAAAAGAAATTTGTTGGTAACTTCCGCTTTCCAAATGGAATGACACTGAATTGAAGAGTGAAATTTTTGAATAATAAATTGAGTTTAAAAAAAAATTGAAAAAAAATATCATAAATAGCAACAAAAAATTGTCATAACCTATATGACTTTTAAAACTATACTAAATAAAATGAGAGCCACAAAGAATACTCAAAATTTTATAAAAAAGAACATTCAGAATTGTTTCTCTAACGTTTTTAATTTGAATATTTAGAAATATAACTTCAGTTTGGTGGCCAGATAGATTTACGCTTCATTAGTCAGGGCATTGAGTATCAGGCCAGCGCCGATGGCCTCCACACAAACATGGAGATTCTCTGTGACATCATACAGAGGAGACTCTTTTCAACACAGAGGCGGTGTCCAGAGATCCGCGGGTGGATTTTGAAAAATCTTTAGTAGCCTTTTGTTAATTAAAAGTTCTATGTACAAAGGTAGTCTTATGATGGTGGTGCGCCTAACATTGGACCAAGTTTCTTATTTGGCTAAGCCAGCATGAAGAACGCGCCCGAGACTCTACCTAGCACATTTTGATTGGAATTTTTCAAAGCGATTATAAAGATGTCGGAAAACATTTGAGAAAAGTTATCGGCTTTCTGAAAGGCGATTCAAGGAACACCTAAAGAAACTAAGCTTATAGAACGACGACTTTTGCGAAAGAAGAAAAGACACCCTCTCTAGGAATTTAGAGCGTAAATTCATTAAAAAACTTTTTAAGGCAAACAGAATGACTGCATTTACGCAATAATAATATAAATGTATTTACTTACCTTATTTCTAAATAGTCTTCCCCACAAGTCTCTGAAAGCATTTCTAAAGAAAAGTTGAGCGGCTTAATTTCTATTTGATGGCCGTCGGGTGCTACTATTAACCATGTGCAATCCATGCTATTTGGATCTAAATATGCAGTAAGATGAATACGAATAAAATGTTTAGTAAAATGATATAACTAACATTTGCGCACAACTTACACTCTTTGGGATATGCTGGTGATTTGATTTCTCCATACGCCCCCACAATCGTACCCCCGCATTCTAAAATTACAATTTTTGACATTTTATATTACTAATATAGAAAACGAGATTAAGTTATATACTCTGGTGTAACCTTTGCCCTGATAAGTATAGGGCCACCCCGTAGAGAGAGCAATCCTCATTTTCCTTTTGTTTTTTTTTAAAAAAGTGTATATAGAGTTTATTTCTAGCAAAAAAATTTTCACCCTCCTTTTGTGTTTTAAGTCATTTGCATCTTAAAATACCCAAAAACTTTTTATATAAATAAATTATGGAGTTTGATTTTGATATTTGCAAAAATCTATTATCAAAATAGGTAAGTTTTAATTCAAAATATATTTCCTAAAATATATGGAAATTCAATCAATACAGACGTTCCTCATTGTAATTTAAAAGGGTACTAAATTAAATTGCAAGATAAAATTCAAAATAAAATTTAAATTGAAAATTTTTCATGGACTAAATTCTGCAAACTCTGAGCATGTTTTCCTCTTATTGTAAAACTTTACTTGAAACATCTTTATGTTGAAGAAAATATTATTTTTAAAAATTCACTTCCAACTTAGAATTAATATAAGAAACATTCGACAAAGCAAAGCTTCAAAATCTGCCAAGTAGGATGTTTTTTTAAAAAAAAAAAAGCACGTTCCAAAATTGTAGTATGTCTAATTTTTTAAAACATTGTTAAAATTTTTTTTATATGCAACAAAAATATTTCAAGTTTGAAAAAAATCATAGCATAATTATCCTAGAAATAATAATTTATTGTTATTGGTTGCGTTTGTGTATATATATACATATAACTTATATAATTTAACCAGTAAATCTGCGAAAATTAATTTTAATTTTAAAGATCTATATAATTGTGCGAAATTAAATATTTTTAAGATTTAAATTAGAAGCTTCAGTTTAGAACTTAAAAAGGGGCAATTAAATACCTTTAATTGCTCATTTCTCTTAAAATATACGAAAATAAAAGTAAAAAAATATTAAGCAAATCAAATTTCCTAGTTCTTCAATAGTTTCTTTTCACACTAAAAAATAATTTCATAAGAACATAAGTTGAGAAAAAACATACGAATTATATCGAAGTTGGCCCGATTGAAACAGTTCGGAAACCAGTTCGGCTTTCCTTGTTTACTTACTACTTATCAGGGCAGTGGTTTAATTTTTAACAATTTTGATGAAAAAATATTTCAATTGAGAAAACATATTTCGAGTAAATAAAAGTTTAAGATTTATAAACATATGTATATGTGTAGTTTTAAAGCAAATTGAACACTTACCTGTATCAGAAATTACATAATCCACTTCAAAGCCTTCGTCATATGAAAGATCCTTTGAAATTATTTGAATTAAAGTTACTGTGTTGGCAAAAGATGTGAAGTCTTTTGCTTGAGATAATTTGCAAATCCTGTTAAGAAAATTGTAATATTCAATGTTATATTTTTATTTTTCTTACTATTTTTTGAACTTAGAGCTATTTGTGTAGAAAAGTTTTAACTTAAAAGAAGAACTTCAAATATTTTTTGGGTTATCGTTGGGACGTACGGGCGACTCAGAATTCGACGCTAATCAAAAACATATACTTAAGTCTATATCTCAGACTATTGTTTCTTAAATTGTAAATGGGAAAGCGTTAATATACGTTTGTACGGGTTTAAAGATATTCGTTTACCGAAACTTATAAGGATCAACCAGAAGGTTACTGGGACGACGTAATATTTTGCGATGAGACTAATAAATGCTATATTATAACGAAGCGGCAATTAAAGTGTAGAAAAAACCATAACAGGCTTTAAATAGCAAAAATATTATACCAACCGCTAAATTTGCAAAACTATCGGTAATGGTTTAAAGGCTGTATATCAAGTCACGGTTTGGGAGACTTTATTTTATTGAAAAATTTGGTATTATTGGTTGTTATACATTTTTTCAGTTTAACGATCAAAAGCATAAATCATATTTAAAAATAAAAAAAATCTGATGTGGTCAGCACATAACCGACCGCATTGTGTATTGTCTAGTTGAGTGAAAGTGATACGGAATATTAAAAAAATGTCTGTTAAGTACTTCTTTCCAATTTTAAGGACATTTGTAAGCGTATAGTTAACATATCTAGAAAAATGTAAATTTGGCTCTTAGTACAGTTTCGCTTTGTGCTATCCGAATTTCCTGAAATGCAAACCAATTAGTTTTGGTAATGGCCAGAACTCAAATATCAAATTTCATGAAATCCCATCAATTCCTTCCGCAGATATGGTGAAAAATGTAAAATCGGCCCGCAAATCAGTTTTCGAGCCCTGATCTTTCCAAAAAATTTATATGTTCATTGTTTTAATACGAGGAGTATATATTAAATTTCAATGAAATCGGTTGATTATTTCTCTTTATATACACAAAAATGTATATTTGGCCCGTAGTAAACGCCTAGTTGCCGATGCCTGATTTCTTCCAAAACATACGAATTTTTGCGGACGGTCGAGCTGAGCTTATATATAAAATTTCAAGTAAATCGGTTGAATATTTTCTTCAAAATGTTCAAAAATGTAAAACAGGCCCGCTAAAAAGTGCAGTTCCCGAGGCCTGATATATACCAAAAGTTGATCGATCCGTGCCATGGTGGAAACAAACTTACATATAAAATTTCATCAAAATTGGTTCAGCCGAACTTGAGATACATGCGTGCACACACAGACCGACAGACGGACCGACGGACAGACCGACAGACCGACAGGTTGCTAAAAATAGTTTATTTACACTTCCGTACTATGGAGAAGTACGTTCCCACCGAAAACTCGATATGCAAAATTTGTTGCCATCACATAACCTACCTATTGTTTACACAATACGGTCCGTAATAACAAGTATAAAAAAGTCAATTGCTAATTTTTGATTAAAATAATAATTTTAAAAAATAGATGACATGTGCTCTAACTTGTAGAAATACAATCCTCTGAATTCAGATGAAAACTCTATTTTTCAGTTTGTTGTAATTGTAGATTATAACACTGAATTCCAAAATGCAATGATGAAACTAAAAGAGCGGTGTGGAGCTTTTAACTATAATTTTAACAATATATGAAATGGCAAATTTCTTAAAATTGTAAAAGTATCAATCAACAAAATTTAATACAAATATCGCTTATTTAGAATAAGATTCTATCAACCAAAATTTAAAAATTAGAGTGTCAATATTAAAGAGTTTTATATGAAACTAAAAAAAACTGTTAAAGAAAATGTAATTTGAAAGTCTTGTAATTTAACTAATAAAAGAAAAATTAAATAGTTTTATTTCAAAATAATTGTTATTAAAACAAAAGAAACTGAAAATTTCAAATTTTAAAATTTCAATTCAAATTTTAAAATTTAAACCTTCTATGTGTGTAACATAAAACTATTTGATACCATGCCATAAAACCCGTATATTCAATAAATATTGTTTTATAAATACTAATTGCAAAGTCAAAAAAATAAAAAAAATTATATAATATATAAGTTTTAATTTTTTTATTGTAAACCTTCTACGGTTTTATGTATTAAATAATAGAAAATTCCAGAGCGTACAAAATGTTTATTTATATTTAAATTACTAAATTACCAATTGATACATTAAAAAGTCTGAAGTGCCAAATTTAGCAAGCCTAATTATTTAAACCAGTATAGTTAGTCGATGTAGAACTTTATTCTTCTAAGTAAGTGATATGTGTGTAATAGGCATTGCAAGCATGCTGGATATCGTAATGCAGGCTATTTAAAGTTATTTAATTTATGCATACATCATATAAAAATATTAAAATTATTAGAAAGCTCAAATATTAGAAAGAGACACGAAAATCTTCCAAACACATGGAATAATAGCATAATATTTCCTGTACATAAAAATGGCGACAAGAAAGACTGTAAAAATTATCGAGGAATTACTCTACTGAATACAGCATATAAAATTTTTACGAATATTCTGTATGTTCGTATTAACGATGTAGCCGAAGAAATTTTAACAGAATACCAATGTGGTTTTCGAAAGAATAAATCAACCACAAATCAATGCTTCATTTTAAGCCAAATATTTGAAAAGTTCAACGAATATTCGAAAGAGGTTCACTGTCTTTTTGTTGATTTCCAACGGGCGTTCGATAGCATTCATAGAGAAAGGATTTTTGGAGTGATGCAGAGATTAGGTATCCCCGAAAAATTAATAAGACTGACATGCATGACTTTGAAAAATAATAGTGCAAAAGTTTTAATCCAAGGAAAGTTAACGGCCCCTTTCAATATAGAATGTGGTGTGAAACAGGGGGATGCGCTCTCTTCCCTAATATTCAATCTGATGCTTCATTATGCCATCCGGGAAATCGATCATGGAGGAAGTATTTTTACAAAATCGTTTCAAATTTGTGCTTACGCAGATGATATAGCTATTGTCGCCAGAAATGAAAGGCAAATAAAGGAGATCTTCACAAGACTAGTTAAAAATACCAAAGAAATCGGCCTCAACATAAATGAAGAAAAAACAAAGTACTTCATCAAAACCAGATCTTCAAGAAATTCTCGAAATTTAGAAATCGGAAGCTATGAGTTTGAAAATGTACAAGATTTCAAGTACTTAGGTGTTGTTTTTTCAAGTACAAACGATTTTACAAATGCTATCAAAGAGAGAATAAATGCAGCTAACAAATGTTATTACATGAACCTGAAGCTGATGAAATCTAGGTTACTCTCGAGAAATAGTAAATTACAAATATACAAGACTTTAATTAGACCTGTACTTGCTTATGGATGCGAATGTTGGACCGTTAAAATGTCTGATTGGAACCTGTTAGCTACTTTCGAAAGAAAAATATTGAGAAAGATTTTTGGACCAACGAGAAATGAGGACGGAACTTTCAGAATAAGATACAACCATGAGCTGGAAGAAATGATGAAATTTGAAACAATTACAAGATATGTAAAATCGCAAAGGATAAGATGGCTGGGCCATGTAATCCGTATGAATGAAAGCAGTAAGGTCAAAACAATATTGCAGAGAAAAGATCACGGAACTAGAGCTAGAGGCAGGCCTAGATTGAGGTGGTTAGATTCAGTAGTCGAAGATTTAAAAATATTGAACATAAATAACTACACAACATCTGCACAAGATCGAGACAATTGGAAGAGGATAGTGAAGGAAGCTTTGGTCCACAGAGGACTGTAATGCAGTGGAAGAAGAAGAAAGCTCAAATGAATTTGTTCTTAACACCTTTTTATTAAAATTTTCCAAAACAATAAAATTTTTTGTAATTCAATTTCAGTTTTTCAGTTAATTTAGGAACCAAAATTTTAAATTTTTATTAAAATTGTGTGTGTTAGAGGAATATTAAGAAATTCGATGTTGAATATTGACGTATTTTAGTTTTTGATTGTGTTATTTAAATTTAGAAGATATAACTTAAACATAAAGATTCGGTTACTCAGTTAGTAAAATGTGATTTAAAATGTGTTAAAATAAATTAATTACTTGCATCCATTAATATTTTAATTTATTAAATTATTTAGTAGTTATGAAAAATATTTCAAAAATAGAATAACAGATAAGAAAATTGACTAGAGAAATTTATTTATGTTTTGTAAAATTTGTATGTATGTATATGCATTCTTTAATTTTAAGTTATGTAAAATGTTTAAGCTAAACATAAATAAATAAATTTAATGAATACATATCGTCACCTCAATATTTTAGTGTCATATATTTGGTTGCTGACAGACAATAACTGCAGTCGAAATACGCTAAGAAGAAACAATTTAAATTAAAATAATTAATACTTTAATGTGTACCTATGTAAATAGGCTATCACAAGCAGAGATATGGCAGAGTTGACACGGTCAACTACATCTATTTTCGTTTTTACTTTGAGAATGAATTCTTTGTTTTGTTTGATTTCTTCTAAAATAAATGTTATTGTTAATAAAGAAAGTTTTGTTTAAATTTCATGTGTAATAAACATATAAAAAGAATAAAAAAATTGTATAATAAGTACCTACAGTGTTTTTTTACTATTTTCAAACTGTTATTTTGACGTATATGGAAAAATGAACATATTACTTTTTAACACGCTAATTTATTGTGTGTTCGTCATATACGAGTATGCTTCTTATACGCATACTTTTCAAAAAATTGGATTTTTAAATCTATAATTTGCATTTTCAGCTTTAAATTTGAATTGCCAAAAATGAAAAAATATACGACAGTAAAATATTAGGGTAACGAATGACGATATGTAAAATTTTGATGTACATAGATGATAATTCTACACTATGGATATGTTTTATTTTTAAAAATTTCGGCATATTTACTCGGTTTTAAGTGTTTCACCGCTGGAAAAATTTTGAAATTGAAAGAGTTGTTTATCGCAATTTGAATAATTCAAGTTATTATAATTAATTCTTTTATATTTTAAACTAATGCTGTAGTCAGGTGGTGCTTTTATTATCCATTCGCAGAAGTAATCTGACATTCTTGAGTTAATTGTTGAAATAGTCCCATTAAGTTCGGTCAACACGCCGCCACAACCTGTATTTTCGAATTGATAACGAAATTTAAATCCTTTAGCCTTATTAAAATTATTAAGGGAATTAAATATAATTTTCATATAGTTATTTTTGGATAAGAGAATTTCTGTTGGCCCATCGCAAAATCGAGAAGAATTTGAAGTACTTGTAAAAATCTGGAATACAAAATAAAGTTTATGAATGAGTTAAATATTGTTTTTTATATTTTTCATATGATACCTCTACATTATCCCATACAGCACAACTTTGAAATTTACCAGCACTTAAAGAAAATTCTTCTGTTGAAAGAGCAATGATATGATTTACTGGAGCTTGGATTTCATAAGTGCATGTGATACCACTAGGATAAGGATTGGGAAAACCCGGTGATGTAAATGCTTCACTTGAATTTTTTAATTGCTTGTCACACAATAGTTTGTAGTTCGCTTTAAATCCGTTGTAAACTGAATGAGGGAATCCATCGATATATTTATATCTTAACATTAAATTGTTTCCACTAGATTTTATAGGCTCAAATGTGTCTGAGTAACACCTTCTCATTAATAATGGTGCATTTTCGTTGCTCCCATCATAAATCTATTTTAAATTAAAATTATTTAAATTTTTCTTAACGCTAAAGAATTTTTATTTACCTCTAGAGAAGCTATTGAGCAATTGTACAATCCTGGAATTTCAAATGTTTCAAATTCAAGTAATACTCTTGTTCCAACTGGTTGTCTTATTAAATATTGACATGAAATAGCTTTCAACGTTGGATCTTCTGTTTTCGGTGATTGTAAGGATCCATGAGTTTTATCAAAAATACCTCCACAATTGGGAATCCCTTCTGTTATTTCGTAATGAATTTGAAATGCGCTGTCACTGGAATACTGGTCAGAATGAAAATTTATTTCTGCACTATTTGAAGTGGTTTCATAAACTGAAGGCGTAATGCTGGACGAACATAACTTTGTACTATCGTCTCCATTTCGAATCTAATATTTATTTTAAATTTTTATTGTTAATGAAATTTTTTATTAAAAGTAACGATAAAAGAACACGTATTTTATAGCATAAAAGTTTTGCACGCTTATCGACTTTTATTATCGAGTAGAAACAGTAGTTTATTTTCAGACGAGTTTAGAATTCTCATTTCCAAAACTCTTCGACAGTTCTTCGACAGTTGTTCGAAGTGTTTTGGCAATTACGATTCTTAAATGACGACATAAAATTTGGCGTGATAAACGTAAAATTTTATGTAATTTTAAAACCTAAACCGTGATTTAAAGGTCAACTGAAGAGAAAAAAATCCATAGTAAAATACTGTTCTAATGGGTTTATTATCATATTGAATTTGTGTTATCAAATCAGATAACAGAGTCTTATATTAAAGATTTGCAAAGTTTAGTCTATGAAATATTTTTGGAAAATATGCAATTCAAAGACAAAATTCAAAATTGTAAAACTCATTGCAACGCAGTTTTTTGAATGACAAAATTTAGATCTTCTATTTGATCTTCTATTTGATTGAAGCTTGATTGTCTTAAAAAAATGAACCTCTTGAATTGTGTGAAATCTTATAAGTGCCTCTTATATTTTTAAATTTTTCTCTTTTATAGAGATTTTATAACAAGAAAATATGTGAATAAAAAGGTACACAATCTATAAGTCGAATAATAGCAAGCATGCACATCTTTTACCCTGTAATCCACAAGAGTACCTCTATATAATCACCGCAATTAGTTTCTGTTCCACTTAATTTGATTTCTATAATTCGAAAGGCTAATTTTTTTCCATTTGGAGCCAAAAAATTCCAAGAACAATCACGATTCGGTGGAGACATACTTGGCCAACCTGGTGAAGATATGGTACCGGCCAATTTTAAATTATTTTCAAAGGTAAATTGGCCACCACAAACTGGGTTGACGGACTCCCATGATAATTGAAAGCCAAGTGTAGGATTTGATGGTGAAGAATCTGTTTTAAACCATATATAAAGAAAATTGTGTGATGTATAAAATTGACCATTCATTGGAAATAGCGTTCCACAATATCGTCCAAAGCCTGGTGCAGCAGAATTTTTACCATTATGCAACTGTAGAAAATTTCTCGAACAGTCTGTGCTGTTATTCAAGTTAAATTTATTAAAAGTAACATTCAAAATTTTGTCCAGCGTTGTTTGTAGAATATAGTAGCAGTTTGAATCGGGGGGATAGTTCATCAAATCCAAAGTCCCAGTATCGTCGACTATAACTTTATTACACATACCATTGTCAATCGTCAAACATGTGCGTCCCTTGAAGCCTTGAGCACATGCACATTCAAATGTTTGCCCTTTTTCTATACAAGTTCCTCCATTTTTACATGGATTATTTAAACATAAAGAATACGAAACGCATTTATATCCTGAATTTAATAGTCGTTCACAACGTTCATTCGGCTGAAAATAAAGTATGTGATGACAATTTATTTTGTTATAAATTCACTCTTACAGCACATGGATTTGAAGCACAAGGATTTGACTCCGGTATGGTTGCTATACATATTTGCCCATTTCCTTCGTAGCCTATCTTACAAGTACAAATTGGGACACCAGATATGATGCGGCAATTGGCATGAGGCGAACAATAGCCCAGTGAATCACATGAATTAGTTTCAGATAGTTCGCAAGTTCGCCCATCTCCATAATAACCAGGAGGACACATACCGCAATGAAATGACCCAAACGTATTAACACATTTCGCAAGTTGACTGCAACCACCATTGTTTATATCACATTCATTTATATCACTGCAAACAAAGCCATTTCCACTAAAACCATTGGGACATGGTCCGCAATAAAATTTCCCTGGCACATTAATGCATGTTGAGTGGCATGGATTAATATCAGCTTCACATTCATTTATATCTACGGTACATGCTCCAGTGACTTCGTGTTTTTTCCACCCTTGATCACATAAACATTCAATTCCATTTTTGGTATTAAGACAAACTCCATTTCCACATAGCTCGTGAGTAGATCCTTTTAAACAATCTCTTTCCTTTTCTGTACAATGTACTCCAAAGTAGCCTGATTTGCATCGACAACTAAAATGGTAAATTAGTAAAAATGTTTTGTAAAAATTTCTTTTTATTTTAATAATTGCTATTACTTGTATCCGCCAGGAGTGTTTTCGCACCACGCATCATTTTGGCAACCCAAATTAGGAGTTTTCAAAAACTGTGAACATTCATCGACATCAGTTTCACATGTAACACCCTAAATTGTTTTTAATTAGTATAACAATCCGTGTTAAATTTTTTGCTTATACATATTAATTTTGAAACTAAGTTCAATTAAATTTACGTAAATATAAATCGAAATTTTATTACACAGGCTTCGAGAGAAGCTTTGATGTGCTTCATAATGATTTTATAAAAAAATTCCGAAAAGTATAAACTATTGTCTTTATATCTAACAAGTCCCAACTCATTTTTTTTTACGAAATGCCATTGATCGTGTCGCAAAAAAGAGTTTAATATTTTAAAAAATCTCAGGATATATACACATTTTTTAAAAAGCTTCCCATTTAAATTCTATTGTACGAAAAAGAAAGGAAGGTAGGAGGAAAAAATTCATATTCAGTATGGTTTCAAATGTTAATGGGGAAGGGTGTATGATTTTTCATGTACATTTTGTATTTCCCAATAAGGTAAGTTGAGTAGTGTCTGCTAACAAAAATGTAAATAAAAGTAATCTAGGTTGACACATTTCAACAATTTGAGTTATCTCATTTCGTTTATTTATACTTATAGAATTGTTTCAAATAATTTCAATTTGTTTTTAAGTTATTAAAATAATATATATGTACCTACTTCCAATCAATTTTTTTGTACATAATTATTTTAAAACTAGTTCAAACATGTTATATCGAGTACTTAATAATTAATTTTTGCTCTTGTTTTATATTTAATAGCAGGTAAACAATAGTAATCTATTTATAAAGTGTTCCTGGTTGTGTATGAAACTTAATAGTAAACGCAAATGGACAAAAATCATTATACATTCGGAATTTCTGAATCCGGTTATAAAAATATATGATTGTCTTTTCCAAAACCTAATATTTTTTTGCTCAGGTAATATATTAAATTTTAAAAAATTTTCTTAAATAAAAATAGAATTAAAATTTTGAAGTGTATATAAAATTTGTATTGGAAAAATAATATTTGAATGTATTTTAGATATTATTTTTTAATTCCCTCTTCAAATTGTTTTTCAAATTCAATTTGTTTACTATCTATTCATATCAATATTTAATAATTATCTTTCATTAATTATATTTTCAACTTGACACTACAGTTACTTCCCATATCTTGAGTTAACTTACCCTACGAGAAAAAAAAACTGTTCACTTAAAAATAATGAAGTGTTTTCAGTACCATATAAAATTTTAAAGGCGAAGGTTGTGCTTGTTGTTTTTCCGCATATGTATTTTAAGAATTTTAAAATAATTGTGAATGAAAATATAATTATATTTAATTGATTTTTTGAATATATTTTTGGAATTTTACCTGCTTTATAATAAGTGTGAATTTATTTTAATACTTCTTCTCAAAAAATAGCTATTTCGACTTAAAAAACCCATATAAAGTAAGGTCTTGCTTTCAAGTTTCTCGCTTATCATTGGGACTTGTTAGATATAAAGATATATAGTTTGTTATTAATTATTGGAAAAGCTAGTCACAATAATCGTACAAATAAATGTCAATAGGGAGATTTTTAAAGGGTAAATTTATGTATCACTTCCTAAAATTAAAAATTCACTCTTGTTTTGACGAGCTTTTAAAATATTGGCTTTATTCCCTATGTTATGCTGTGCAAAAACTTAAATAAGTGTTTGTTTTTTTTTAAATGATAATCTTTATTTTTAATATCCCAAAATACTTTTTCAATCTTTTCCAAAACCAAGGTAATAATTATCATCATGTCGCCGGTGGTTTGATAATGTTTGTTGAGCTTTATTATTATTCCCTCTTATTTTATTTTTATTTTATTAAAGATCCTTATTTTCTCACTGAAAAATAACATAGACAACAGTTAAAATACCAAAATTACGTATTAACAACATTAAAATAAGTGAAGCGATGTTTTTCAAAACTTCTGAAAATTTTCGATATATAATAGTCGATATAAAATAGATTACAGACATTTATATCTCTTTTCTTTCGTAAGCTACTATTAGGATGTTCGTAAGGTATAAGGGTTATCATAAGTTGAATAAGCTTTAGTTTAATACGCAGTGTAAACGATTACATGAGTATGTGGTATAATTATTCTTAATATTGTTACTGATTGTTGTAATGTATAGTTATACTTATACTTTACATAGAAGTTTTCTGCAAACTAAGTTAAATTAACCGAGAAATTACTGTCGCGAATAAATCAGTACATGCTCAACGATTGTCACAAAAATAACTTTATTCCAATGTGAACATTTTTAAAACATAATTTTGTTTTTCAGGTTGAATAACTAGAAAGATAAGTTAAATTTCTTTCGTAAAAAAAAATACCTAATATTTCAAAAGCTTTTGTTGTTATTGAGTTTCTTTACATTTAAGGATTTCACCAGTGGTACAGGGTCTTGTGGTAAGTTTTTTTATTTGCTAATTTTTTAAGCTAATGCAACATACAATGTATTATTGTGTTTTAAATTATTTAATTTTTTGAAGTATATATGTATAATAATACAAGAAAACCGATTAAATAATTAGAAAAAAAAAAATTAGAAAAATTCGTCCTTCGATGCCGTAATAACCGAAGACAGGTGCCTCTGGCGCCCTCAAACATATTATTAAATACATAATGAGCTTAAGTTTTGCCGTTTCTTGAAAAGGATTTATCCCCTATCTTGGGATTTGAATTTGGGCTATATAAGCTGTTTTATTTACAGCTTAATAGCAAGTTTTTTTCAGTAATTTATCTAGTTGACTTAAAGTTTTATGTTCACTAATCGTATCATTAAAAACATAATAACCTATATGTGTATGTATAATATATAATTAAGCAGTCGTAACTGCTAAAATGAAAATTTAGACTATTATTCTTTAAGAAATAGAACCTAGATTTTTTTTAATAAAAAGTAACAAATGTACGATTGCTATGGTGTAATTGACAATGTGAATTGCCGATCCATAACAATTGCATCCGGCGGTCACTAATCTGCAATCAATCATTTATGCTAAAAAACTTGCATTTCAAATTTGATATACATTTTTTGCATACAAGCGGTTGACAAACTGCTTTAACAACAAGTTATTTTTATTTTCGAGAATTAAATTTAAATTAATAAAATTACTTATCCTCTTAATAATTCTCCATTTTGCACAAAAGACAAAATCGGAAATTTTTTTACAAAAACGCCAAAAAATTTTTGAATTATGACCAGCAATTATTGACAATATAAATTATGTGACATTTGTTTTTTGCATTATCGGTTACATTATAAATATATATCATGAAGAATCACAGAGTTTTTTTTAATTGATATTGCAGGTGCAAAAGCATTTAACGCACATTTTATATTGTAAACTGGTAAATATATTTTTCTTATTTTATTTTATTTCAACACAAAAAATAAAACAAAAGAAAATGTTATAACAAAATAATATTTTTGTTTGAGGGGCCTAAAATTTTATGACGTTTAAAAAATTTAGTTTAAATCCTATTTAACCCTGCAATATTTTTTGCAGTTATTAAACCGAAAAATTAGTACATTGTTTTCATTATTTTAAAATGAAGGAAATAATATAAAACAAAAGTCCCGAACAAAAGTTGTGGTACCCAACAAGATTAAATCTTTTTTGAATTTTTTATTTATAGTATCATATAAAATAAACATTCAAAATTTTTAAATAATAAAAAGATTTTTTCAGTAAACTTTTTTTTTATATATTTGGTGAAAAAGGCGTTCAAGCCTTCATCTTTGATTGGAATGAAATTGAAAGTTTTTTTTAAATTTCTAATTTTTCGTAAATAATATTAGATGTATTCCTTGCTAAACTAATATGCTAATAAAGTTCCTTACCTGCCAAGCTGCACTACATTGACATAAGAAGCTATTGTAAATTGGTATACAAGTTCCACCATTTTTGCAGGGTCCATCAACGCATTTATTGGCTTTCAAATTGTTAATTAAATTCAAAAAATCCCTATTTATTCGAGATACTCGAGTTTGTAAACGTCGTAATTGAAGTTTCTGTTGTGTAGTTCTGCAAAATAAAAGATTTGTTTTTGTTTCTATTATTGGTTATTTATATATGTATACGGTGTTTCGCATAAGGTGGCAAATAATTTTAGGAATGATTCTTTGATCAATTTGCAGCGAAAAATTATCTGAAAAGTAAGAACGCAGATTTTTCTTTTTTCGGTTTGCTTTTCGAATTAGGGCTAAAAAATTTTTTTTCTTGGAAAGCATCTTTTTAATACATTACTGTTTGTAAATTGAACAGGTATAAAATGTTGAATAAGTTTTTATAATTTAAAACAGTTGAAAGGAAACCGAAAAAACTCACAAGTGGTAGGAAAAAAGGAGATTGTCGGAGTCCTTTCGTAATGTATACAACACAAAAAAACTTTAATAAGAATATACATGTGTATAAAGAAGAATGTACAATAACAGAATTAAAATGTATGTTAGTAAAGATGTAGAAAAAAAAAATTTTTTTAATAACATGCTGACTAATTGTGCTACGCTAATTATTTGATGCAATTTTTTGGGCTGCGTAAGTTGCACACGAAAACGAAATATGTTCAACGAAATATACATATTTTTTTTCTTGGTGTTTACAAAATAAAAATCTGAGGGGTCAGCCGACATAACCGACCGCATTGTGTATTGTCTAGTTAAGTGAAAGTGTTACGGAATATTATAAAAATGTCTGTTCTTTTCAATTTTTAGGACATTAGCAAACTTATAGTTAACATACCTAGAAAAATGTAAATTTGGCTCTTAGTAGAGTTTGCTTTGTGCTATCCGAATTTCCTGAAATGCTCGCCAGTTATTTTCGGTAACAACCAGAACTCAAATATCAAATTTCAAGAAATTCCATAAATTCGTTCCGTAGATATCGGCCCGCAAATCAGTTTTCGAGCCCTGAACTTTCCAAAAAATTTATATTTTCATTGTTTTATTACGAGGAATTCAAATATTAAATTTCAGTGAAATTGGTTGATTATTTCTTTATATATACAAAAAAATGTATATTTTGCCCGTAGTAAACGCCCAGTTGCTGATACCTGATTTCTTCCAAGAATTAGGAATTTTTGCGGCAGGTCGAGCGAAGCTTATATATGAAATTTCAAGTAAATCGGTTGAATATTTTCTTCAAAATTTTCATAAATGTAAAACAGGTCCGCTAAAAAGTGCAGTTCCCGAGGCCTGATATATCCCAAAAGTTGATCAATCCGTGCCATGGTCGAGATAAACTTACATATAAAATTTCATCCAAATCGATTCAGCCGAACTTGAAATACACGTGTGCACACACAGACCGACAGGTTGCTAAAAATAGTTTACTTACACTTCCCTACTATAGAGAGTTGCATTCCCACCGAAAACTCGATATGCAAAATTTATTGCCATCACATAACCTACCTATTGTATACACAATACGGTCGGTAAAAATGATTGATTGAATAACCACTGACTTGGCCCCTGGGTTACTAGTTACACGACCGCGACGCACAATGCTTTTTTTTTTCTTTAGAAAAACGCTATTGAAAAAGTAGGTCCTTTTTATTTACTTAATATTTTTTATACCACTTTCACTTTGGTATGGAGTTTCTTTTCTGATAACGACGACTGCTGTTGTAATTAGACCAATTCGGACAAAAAGTTCCGGTAGCTGCCATACAACGAAAAAAGGATTTTTAAAAATTTTAAAAACTATTAAAGATATTAATATCAATTTAATTGCAAAGACGTGTCCAATTACACTCTACATATGTTCTGAAAATTTTAATGGAATGGTTGCACGGTTTCGGGTAGCTGTCATACAACTCCAAAAGCTAATTTTAAATAATTGGAAAAATAATAAAGTCAGATTTATGGCAATCATGTGTCCAATTATAGGTTGCATATTTTTCTGAAGTTTTGGTGAAATGAGTTGACAGGTTCGGGTATAGCCGATATATAACTCCAGAAGCTAATTTTAAAAGTTTGGAAAAATAATAAAGTTAGATTCATATAACTTGGCAGTCATGTGTCCAATTATAGGTCATAAATATTGTTGGAGTTTTGGTGAAATGATTTGACAGGTTCGAATAGCTGCCAAACAACTCCAAAAGCAAATTTTAATTATTCGGAAAAATAATAAAGCTGGATTCATGAGACTTGGCAGTCATGTGCCACATATATTTCTGAAGTTTTGGTTGAATGGCTTGACAGGTTCGGGTTGCTGTCATACAATTTCAAAAGCAAATTTTAATTATTTGAGAAAATAATTAAGTTAGATTCATTAAACTTGGTCGTCGTGTGTCCAATTTCTGGTCACATTAATCCCTAAAGTTTTGTTGAATGGCTTGGCAGGTTTTGGTAGCTGCCACATAGCTTACAAGCAAATTTAAAATATTCGAAAAAGTAATAAATTTAGGTTTATGAAAATTGGCAGTTGTGTGTCCAATTATGGATCAGACATATCCACGTAGTTTCTATAGAGTGGTTTGCTATAGAGCTATAGAGAGTTCAAGTACTTGGTGAACAACAATTAAAGCTAGGTATTTAAAAAAAGAAACCATTTAATTGCTCCTTTTTGGGTTTTTCCAACTGAAATTTTAAAAATATTTATTTTACATAGTTGTAAATCATCAATAACTAAAAATGTTACTTTTGCAAATCTATTGGTTACATCGTTGTACGTATATTAATCAATATGTTACCAGTTATTTTTTTATGCTATGATTTTTTTTCAAAATTTTGTAGCATTATTTAAAAAATTTTTTTGACATACTTTTGTTATCAAACTTGTAACTGTAAACTGTCTAATCCATAGTACAGTGATTATGCTGCCAGCCCTTTAACCAAAGGGCCTCAGATTGAAATCCTGGTCAGGTCAGTAAAATAATTATACTTATTATTACCTAAATAAACTAATATCTGATAAAATGTTCTTATAAAAATAATTGCCCATGTATCCATAATATTTGATGTTGCATATGTACCAAAAAAATATAAAGAATAAATGTCAATAACCTTCAACAGTTAGCATAAAGAAAAAAAATTACGGCGGGCTGGTCACCGCTTAGTTAACTCAATGACCTATCAAACTGAGAGCTAACCGCTTGATTCTAAAGTCAAGCAGAAGCTCTTAATGCTTCCAAAGGCCGTAAGGGAACAAAAAAAAATTATAAACTATTAATTTGAAGTTAGCACTGAATTATTGAAAATAGCTAATATTTTCTTCAATATAAAGTAGGGAGTAGAGCTTGTCAATAAAAGAAAAATATATAAAGGAGTTTGGTGAATTTACCCTATTGAAATTTTTTAATTTAAATTTTATGTTGTTGAATTTCAATTATATGGGTTTGTTTCGATTGAACTTCTATAAAATTTATGGAACATATTTTTAAGAAAATTTATTAGTTTTTCAAATATCAAAATCAAATTCCAAAATTTATAGGTATTGTTAGATGTAAATGACTTATAACATGAAAGAACGTTGAACATTTTTTCCCTTTATATAAACTCTATACATTTTTGTAAAAAGCATAAAAGACATATACAAAGGAACATTACCAGAAATAAATTGTTCAAGTTTAAAAAAATTAGATGAAATTAATGAAAAAATTCACCTATCGAAGTTGAACATTACTTTTTAGCACTTTTCCAAAAAATTTAAAAAAAAGTGCTTTTAAGTTTCATTCTGTCCGTTTGTCCGTCCGTCCGTGGACATGTTTACAAAACTCTTATACCTTTGAAGATAGAAATCTGAAATTTGATATGAAAATAGATCTTTATTAAAACCTTATTTCCGTAGAAGAAAATTTTTACCTATATCCTCCATCTACAAATTATAGTCCTTTAAAGCCCTAAAAATACAATTTTTTAAGTATTTATTGCGGTGAAACCATAAGCATATTTTAAATTCTCCAAACTCAAAAAACCAGTAGCTGCCTTTTTCTACCGCAAAATACTATATTTGGACTTTAAAAAACAAAATGGCAGTAAAAATTTATATTTATATAAAATCCGTTTTCTTTTCAAATTTTTGATATCATTCTTCTTGTAGACCTCTGGTTGTAGGAGTCTGAAATAGCTTTTAGAGACTAATAAATAGTTCTAAAAATATGCAATCCTTGAAATATATTCGTATATGAGTGAAAGTAATGAAATAGTTTGTTTTTAATAGCAGTTTTTTTACTTTTTGAAGAGAGAAGTGCTACATTACAAACCATTGGTTTAACCCAACTTTATTTTAATAGCATTCGGAGTACTGATGTCTGCAATATGAAAAAAATTACCTACAACTCTCATGTTATCTTTATCAAATAAGAAAATTTCCATAGAATATTGATACATACACGTAATATGATAACTCGATTCGGCCATTAGTTTTAAAAAACATTCACTAAAATTGAAAGGAGTTAAAACGCTAATAATAAATGAATTACCATATTACATATATGTATACGTATATTTGATATAATGTTTTAGAGCAAATCTGAGTATATTTAATTTTAAAATGGGAAATGAAACCAAATGCAAATACTATTTCATTTAAAATACTACAACAATGTTACTAATTACATATGTATAGTAATTGGTATTCCAATACTACAGGACCTTAATATTTATAAGAAATTTCTTCTTAAACTTCTAAATAATTTTAGTATTTACATATACATACATTAAAATTATTGACAATTTAAACGCTATTAAGCATTACATACATACACTTAATATAAAATTAAAATATTTTTGTACTCACATGTTGCTTAATTTAGTGATATTTAAAGCAAAAGTGTTTAAAACTTTTTTTATTTCATCTTCATCATTAAAATTCCAAGAATTTTGTTGATTATTGTTAAAATCTAATGTATTTACCGGTGGTTTTACGATTTTATTTGTTGAAATATCAACATTATTTATTAAAATACGTCCGTTCCCAACCACTCGTAATGTAATATTTTTATCCCTCGCTGATTCAAGTATAAGGTTACCATTTCTTGAGATGATTTTGGGCCTTTAAATTTATTTTTATATCAAAATTTTATCCAATTTCAAATTAAAAATTATTTTTTTAAATAAAAAAAAAAAACAAAAATTATCAAACTTACTGCCCGTCATATAGTTCATAAGAACTTGACACAAAAACCAAAAAAATTAAAATTTTTAATAATTTTGAAAACTTCATATTATTTTCTGTTATTTTATTATTTTGTTTTTAATTTATAAGAACATAATAAAAAACTCTTATATTATAATAATGTTATATTATATGCAATATAACATTATTTACTTAATTTATAATGAAAAATTAAATTATAAATATAAAAATTACGCCCACAAATTCTTTAATATTATAAGATTAAATAATTCAAAGTTGTAAAAGAGCACCACGCGTACCGTTCTATTCACAAAAAAAATTAAATAACAGTGTTAATTTTTTTATTGGCAGCCTTCCTTTTATAATTTCATATCCGCAGCGGAGAGGGCGTATTTTGTTACTTATGTATCAAGAGCTATCTTTTCCGTTATTTGAAGATTATTTTGCGTATATTGTAAAATGTCAACATATACATGCAAAAGAATGTGGTAGTGTGCCACATGAACTAACATGTATAAACTTAAAGCACATAGGATCATTATTTTTGTTATAGTATTTAAGAAAAACTTAATGTTAATTAGACAATATTTTATCAAAATTTTGTATGTTTACCTCATGAAGTTACTAATTTCTTTATTATACAACATGCACCATAAATTTTGATAATTTTCAAATGACGTTTGCATCATTAAAAATGATTAAAATAAAATTGGTGCTAGTGATAGGTGAATTGAATGAAGTTGCTTTAAAATTATGTGAAATGAGTGCATATTTTTTTATTTTATTTATAATACATACATATGTATTAATTTACATACATATATCAGAGGAGGGAAACCTTTTTACCATTGGAGGCCATATAAAATATTTGCGAGAACAATGGCATAAGTCAAAATTCAGTGTCACAAACTTGCTTTTATTACTATTATATTTTAATATATAAAACTTTTCTGTAACAAAATAATGCAGAATTGAATGTTGTTCATTGAATAGAATGTTGTTCATATACTTGTGGAATACTTCTATACCAACGTTTTTTAGCCTTCGAAAAAAAATTACACTCGGATATAAATACTTTGAATTCCGGAAGTCGAAGTTAATTTTTTCAGTTGTGTCGTTATTCTTCTTAATGTGCGATATTTACAATAACAGTAACAAAGGAGACCGCATATTTTTGAACACCAATAAATGTAAGTTAATTGCTTTGAAATTAAATTTTTTTTTAATTTTAAATAGAGTTTTCTTTATTTCAATAAAATATAGGGAAAAGAACGAAACAATTATGTATGATTTCACATCTGACCGATAGTAATAGAAGATGAGAACAAAGTGAACAAGCAATAAAGATACAAACAAAAAAAGGAAGAAAAAAGATATTACACAGTTAAGGATACATATGTATGTATGTGAATATGGATGCTAATTCTTGCAGTATTTTTATTTTAAGGAATTTGCATTTTAAATTTAAGAAATATATTTATTTGTATATTGTGTATGTATGTACATAATATACAAACATCAAGAAGATATAAAAAATAAAACCACCCTAAATGTAAATTTTTTTTTCCTGCTTTACTCCCTTTGGTAGCATAGGGCTTAAACAAAGCTTCTCCAAAGAACTCTGTTAGGGGCCATTATTTTTACTTCTGCCCATGTCATGTTAGCCGTGGCGATTTCTTTCTTTATTTTTCTTTGCCACGTATTTCTTTGGCCTGTCCCACACTTCTTCTACTCTTTGGATTCCACTCCAATACCTGTCTTGCGATGGTTTCAGGCGTCGCAATGTATGGCCTATCCATCACCATTTTTGCTTCTTTATAACCCTTACGAATGATTCTTGGTGGGCTAAAGCCCAGAGGTCTGTGTTGTTGATTCGTCTGGGCCAGAATACACGGCAGATGATCTTTAGGCTCCTATTTATGAATACCTGCATTTTATTTGTGTATTCATTTTTCACTACCCATGTTTCGGAACCAAACAACAGGACCAGCTTCACACATGTGCTGAATATTCTTAGTTTTGTATTCCTGGATAAGTGTGAGGATTTACATATGGTCCATAATCTGCCGAATGCCGCTTTAGCAAGTTTTAGTCTATTTTGAACGTCTTATTTAACCCCTCCAGTTGTCGATATTATACTGCCGAGGTAGTTGAATTGTTCAACATCTTGTATAGCGGCTGTATTTATCACGAAGGGGATAGTGTTTGCTGCGTTAATTCGTTGTGATTTGGTTTTTCTCGTATTTATTTTCAGACTAATCGCTGCTGCCTTTATATGCAGCTCGTTCAATTTTGCTTGCAATATCTGAATGTGTATGAGACAGCAGAGCGATGTCATCTGCGTATTCCAAATCCTCCAGGCGGCTCGATAAGTCCATTGTATGCCCCTTGGAGTTATTGTTGACTTCCGCATTATTTCGTCTAGAGCTATGTTGAATAGTAGAGAGTGGACACCTCTGTCTTACACCTGCTTCGATGCGTAGTGGCTCACCCAATTTACCATTATGGAGGACTCTATCTTCGGCACCTTTGTGTAGAGCTCGTATGAGGTTCGTTATTTTTTGTGGTATTTCTCTACTAGTTAATACTCTCCATATGGCCTCTCGCTTTACTGTGTCGAATGCTCTCTCAAAGTCGACAAATGTTATGTATAGTTGGGATTTCCATTCAATCGAATGCTTCACAAAATTATGGACCTTTAAATTTGGCCTCGGAATCGCAGGTGCCCCACCTCTGAAATGGATTCTTTTTTTGTAAGAGCAAATTTTTAACAATATTATGTTTGTATTTATAAGTTAGATTAACTGTTACATTTTATAGATATAAATGTTCTGTCTTCAGCACATTATTTACGTATACATTTAGTATATTATGTACGTACATACATATGAATGTAATTTACCACAAAAAAAATTAGTTATTTGATAAAAAAAAATTAGTGAATAAAGTAGACGTTTATAATTAAAATTATTAGAAGTAAAAAAGTATTTATGTGTGTAGTTTGCAAATGAAGTCACATTATTTCCACGATATCATTAAGAATATGCCATTAAAGAAAAAAATATGGCTAGGAAAATCATGCTGCAAAGAATGACGAGAACAAACAAGGAAACTGCAAAAATAAGGGAAAAATATGTAAAAGAAAAAGGCGGCTTCTAACCAAAATTAATAAAAGTTAACGGCAAAAAGGGTAATATATTAATTGAAAAAAAGCAAATACTTGACAGATAGAAGCAATATTTTCAAGAGGTTTTGAATACAGAATCAAGAGAGGAAACAACACAATGGGTGGCTGCGGAGGATTAGGAAGAAAGTATCGGTGAGCCTTCTATTGAAGAAGTGTTAAACTCCAGAGATGATAAAAAGCACTGGCAGTTTTGAAGATAGAAGCGAGTTTTCGTATCTGGGTGCTCAAATAAATATTATGAATGATACAAACAGAAACACACAAAGCAGAATATTAGCAGGAAATAAATGTTACTACGCTTATAAAAAATTGTTTAAATCCAAGCTACTTACCAGAACTTGCAAACTACAAATTTATGTGGGTATGTCAAACTTAGAGCTACTTAATCTAATTAGGGGTGAAGATATTGCATGCTTCGTCAAAAGTTAAAGAATTAAGTGGGCCGGGCTTGTGCATAGAACGCCGGAAGAAGGACTGGTAAAACCAATAATGTGTGCTACAAAAATGAACACGCGGAGCAGAGGAGACCTCTTGTTCTGCATTATCGTTCTAGGCTCAGATGGAACGATAATACAGAACAAAACTTGAGAAAATTTGGCGATACTAACTGGAGAAGCTCTACAGCTGACAGAAATCTTTTATAGGATGATTGTACAATAGGTCATGGCTCACCCTGGGCTGTAGTACCATATAGCGATGATGATGATTATTAAGAATATTTCAAACATTCCGAACTTACTATGGATTCAGAATGATCTTGAGCATTTTGCAAATGGAAATTTTCGTTTAGGCGTACATGACCAATTTTAAAATTATTTGATTATTATTTCATTTCAATATTTTTTTTATGTTTTAATTTTAATGTATCTTATCTTATACATAATACACAAATTGTCGCCAGATTTAATTATAAAGGAAAAATATACAAAGAAAAAAATAACATGACAAAAACGGAAACGAAAAAAAAGGGTTTTCTCATCGTAAAATCGTATCGTATAAAGTACATACAGATTTTGCTCACAAATTGAATAAGTCTGCACGCTGCAAAAGCCATTACATATTATTATTGTACTAAGAGCCTCTAAAGCGGGTAGTTAAAGCAAACAAGTTTGTATTTCAGTATATTCGGACATGCGTAATCCAAAAAGACGAAAAGATCAATAATTTGTGCATATAAAATTTGCCTTCCATGGCTATGCATTACTGTATCTTACATTTGTAATATTCATAGGTTATATTATGGTCAATTTGCAAATATCGAAATTTAATTTTAGAGCTATTTTTTTCATGCGGTTATTAAAATGTATGAAACATTTTCGTTGAATGACCTCCCCTACAAGTCCTTGGTATATAACTGTTTATTCTAGTAACTACATGAATAAACAGTTATAAGCCATTCGGTTTATTAGTTACAACTGCTGGCGTCAAAATATTTCATGATAACATTTGAAAATAATTAATTCGGTTTGATTAGCTACCAAAACTTAAAATTTTTATAACTTTTAGTTTCTTATTGAGCTTATTTCTGTAAAAATGTATTTACTAAACATAAATAGCTAATATGTACTAGAATACTAGATTGTTTATTTCGAAATCAAAAGCTATGAAGGTATAAAAAAAAGTAAAATTTATTACTTTAGTGTATGAATATATTTATTTGTTCGTGTACACGCATATAAAGGGTAGGAAACTTAGAACTTACACAACAGAAAGACGCGGCTGTGAAAACTACAAATTTGAGATTAGCATAAAAAAAGTTTTTTTCAGTTATTAAAGTTCTAAGATTGTCATATGTTTTTTAAATTTTCAAAGATAAAACCACAAAATTAAATATTTCATTATTCCCTGAAATATAAATTTAAATTTTTTATTAAAGTAATAAAACATTTTAAAAGAAACTTATTCTAATAAATCCTGTAAATTCGACAAGTACAAAATAATTTCTACTGCACTAAAAATAAAAACTGAGTTTTTGAGAGTATTACACTTAAAAATCTTAACATTTAACAGCTGTAGATTTAAAAAAAACTGCAAAAATAGCCCCGCCTTATTAAACACGTTTTTTTGACAAACACATAACACACTTTATACACATTTTTACCGACCGTATTGTGTAAACAATAGGTAGGTTATGTGATGTCAACAAAAATTTGCATATCGAGTTTTCGGTGGAAACGTACTTCTCCATAGTAGGGAAGTGTAAATAAACTATTTTTACCAACCTGTCGGTCTGCCGGTCTGTCGGTCTGTGTGTGCACGCGTGTATCTCAAGTTCGGCTGAACCGATTTTGATGAAATTTTATATGCAAGTTTATTTCCACCATGGCACGGATTGATCAACTTTTGGTATATATCAGGCCTCGGGAACTGCACTTTTTAGCGAGCCTGTTTTACATTTTTGAACATTTTGAAGAAAATATTCAACCGATTTACTTGAAATTACATACTTGAGCTTTGCTCGACCGCCCGCGAAAATCCCTAACTTTTGGAACAAATCAGGCATCAGAAACTGGACGTTTACTAAGGGCCAAATATACATTTTTGTGTATATAAAGATAAATAATCAACCGATTTCATTGGAATTTAATATTTGAATTCCTCGTATTAAAACAATGAACATGAAAATTTTTTGGCAAGATCAGGGCTCGAAAACTGATCTACGGGCCGATTTTACATTTTTCACCATATCTACGGAACGAATTGATGGAATTTCTTGAAATTTAATATTTGAGTTCTAGTTATTATCGAAACTAACTGGCGAGCATTTCAGAGAATTCCGGTAGCACAAAGCGAAACTCTACTAAGAGCCAAATTTACATTTTTGTAGGTATGTTAACTATAAACTTACTAATGTCCTAAAAATTGGAAAGAAGTATTTGACAGACATTTTTATAATATTCTGTAACACTTTCATTTAACCAGACAATACACAATTCAGTCGGTTATGTGCTGACCACATCAGATTTTTTTTTTTTAATGATCGATTGAACTTTGATAAGAGGATTTAATTTATTTAAAAACTAACCATATTATACAAAAACTAGAAGCCCTTGTTGCGGGTAGCACTAAAAGTAAATATATTCGAAAATATTGAAACAAAATTGAAACATGAATGTACATATCACACTACAGATAATATGGGAAGCAAAATTTGAAATCAAATCTCGCAAAATATAAAAATTATTATTCATAATACCAACCCAACGATAGTAGTATGTGGTTGGTTTGAAATGATCTTGAATTTTACATCACAAAATATTAAAACCACAAAAAAATTGTATGTACCTACATAACAGTATACCGATGATATGTAAAAGACTTACACTTTCAAGTAGTAGCTGCTCAAATACAAAATTTTGAATCGAAAAGTTGAAAAAAAAAAATTTCCGAACACAACTTTGCTGTAGCTTCAACAGCACCCAATTTCAACCGTAAACGACTTGAATGTTAATTAGCGGACAAATAACGCATAGAATATATTACGCATACGATGCATGTTTTCTTTTTCTTTGTAAATGATGTTTTTTAAAGAAAGTTTAGGCAAAACTTTTTGGCTATTTAAATTCTTGAACAAAAGCGAAAATAAAAAAAGTAAAAAAGATTCACTTAGTTATCATCTTCGAGTGTGACTTTATCTCATATGTTCTATATTCATATTCACGAATCACGAATAATATTTCTTTACTGATTTTATTTTTAGTTTGCAGAAAATTTCAAATGTCATTGTAATAGCAATAAAACAGTAAAATCCGCTTAAGTACGTGTAAAAAAAATCCAATTTTTGTAAGCACTTATTCGAGTAGAATGTTAACCGAATTCGTTCAACTGCGCAAATAAAAGCAACTAAGCGAATTTTCAATAATATTTAACACATTATTCAAAATGTTGAAGTAAAGATGTGATTATAATGTTTTTTTTATTATTTATTTGATTAGTTTTTAATAAAAATTAAATGTATGTGTAAAAAAACCAAATATGTAAAACAAAAAATTAAACAACAAGTAAAACAAAAACATACTATAAACTTAAACAAAATTCATCAAAGGTTTCATTACGAGTATTTGTGACTAGTATGCATCATTAAAAAAAAATTACAAAATACGAGGATATGTATGTACAAATATTAAGGAAATAATTGTGCAGAACTAAAAAAATCAGTAACTCTTTTTGTGCTGCGTTTTTTACTAGTATATCGCATTATTATTTTTTTTTGCTGGTGAGAGATATGAGCAGACCCTCCAATATCCCAACTTAACTACCCGGGTTACAGAACATTTCTAAAAGATAACCCTCAGGCAGTTGAACGCGAGCTTTTTAACACTGAGAAAACCTCGCCCAAAGAATCTCTACCTCCTGATAGTCACAGCATTAGGACAGTCGCACAGACGTAGTCTGTAGTTTATTATAAAATATACAAACTTGAAAAACTTAGTACTTAAAGTAAATTAAATTGGATATAATCTTTATTAACCAAAAATCCTTAATAAAGAGTTAAACCACATCAATAAGGTTACAAGAAAATGCTAATCCGTTAGCGCTCAATGAACTTTGCTGATTACTTCATTCAACGAATTAGAAATACTAAAGGAATGAGCATCTTGAGAAAACTATAAAGCCAAATTATTTTTAGTTGTCTCGTTGTTTGTTCCTAACATTGTCAAAGTCGAAACAGGGTCGTATATATTTTGTTTTTTTTTATTTGTCCTCTATTGTAAAATTAGTTAGTCCTCTAATATTTTACAATATTTTTAAAATATTTTTTCGTTTGAAATTTTCAAAAAAAAAATCAAATTTAAACAAAACTCATTCATTTTTTTTTTCTTTGAATAAATTCATTTTATAAAAATTTTTTTAATACAGGTGCACCTACAGGTGTGAAGGGTCATAATCTCCCAAAACTAGTCAAACTGAACTCCAAAACTAATTTGTCAAAACTCTTCCATTATGCGCTCTGTTTCACGGACACCCAGATTCCTATGAATGTCACTATTGTGCACATACCAGAGAGCACTCATCGTATTATGAAAGACCTTGTTCTGGAAAGTTTGTGTTTCTTTGACGTGTGTTTACTTGGCACAACGCCGTACCTACAATCCATACGTCCATATAGGATTCATCATTTGGTTATACATCAACATCTTACTGCATGTTGCCAATCTAGATCTACGACCTACGAACCAACAGTTTTCTCTATATTTTTTTTCTAATTCTATTCTTCTTTTACATGTTCTTTTCATCTGGCTGTGACATCTAAATTCATACCCAGGTATTTCGCTAAGTTTTGCGCAACCGGTTTATATAACTTAGCCTCATTCAAGGGTTTCCCCGGTTTTCCTATTATAATAACTTTTCAAGCACTAAGAACATATTTCAGGTTCACTGCTGCTTTTATCACTTTTTTTTTAAAAAGGTCAAGGTCTTCCTAGGCAATTCTCTTTTTATCTCAGCAGTAATAAAATAGACACCTAGGCCATTATTCGATTTAAGCAACTCTATTGGTTTTCAAATTTCTTTTTGTGTAAATAGAGTCATAGTGCTTTAATTCATTGAAAAATCTACTAAACAAACATCTAGTGTTCATTTGATTCAAAAATTCCTTCTAAGTGGTGGGCAATAGTTCAGCTTATTGCCTATGATCTATTCCTTTTTTTAGTAGAGGGTTTGGCTTTATCGGTTTCTTAATACTTTTCGTTGCTTTCCACAACGAATAATCTGCTTCTTTAGTTGCGAATATCTTTATAAAACCTCGTATGATACTGATACTGCTTTCAAATTTTAAATTTTTCTTTTGAGTATTTGAGAAAGTTTATTGACTGTCGTTTTATCGTCTGGATGACGCGACTCTTTGTTCTTTATTGTATTATTAAATCCTTAGGGTAATTACTTGATACAGGTTTAAATTCAGAGAATCTTGTATTTTTCCAGCCGGCTTTCTATATCAATTCAATAAAACCCTCCACTTTAGAATCTAGTTGATTCTGAATCCGTTTGTTTGCCATTTTCCCACTAAGGGTTAATATGAGAGCAGAGTGATCAGAATTCAAATTAAAATCATCTTCCAAATTCAAAAAAATTGGCGAAATCCTTTTAGATATAAAAAAGTTAATAAGATGCGGGACTTTGATGGCAGGCCAATAAGTTGGCAGGCTAGTAGAATGATAGGAACATTCCTACTCCTAAATAGCTTTTCTTATTTCTCTACCTCTAGCTAAGGTCAATCTAGAACTCCGAACATGTTTAATATTATAGTCACCTGCCATTAAGAATCTATTTCAATCCGTGCATAAGACATCCTTAAAAATATCCTTATCTATGTTGCATCTTGGTAGACAATATACTGAACCAACATTGAAGTTCTGCTTGGTAGATTTAATTTTCACCATAACAAGTTGAGTTACCTTCGTCTCTATTTTGAATTTTTTATTATGTTTTATGATTTCTTTAATTAAAATAGGACTCTTTTGAACGGTTAGCAGGGTGAGTTGCCTTGTAGCATTTATAACACAGCACGTCCCAAAACATGTTTTCATAACAGACATACGTTGATATTTTTAGCTCTAAGAAAAATCTGCCATAAGCGTTCCACGTACCACTTCGTACTTTATTTACTGACATTTTTTAGAAATCATTCATGGTTGCTGGATATGCGTTAGAATTTCTATTCTCCACAGTAGTTAATCTTACTGAGATTTCCTCAATTCCTTATAGCCTGTCTTGCATCATTTGTATTATACTATTGTCAATTTCTTTAGTTTTCATGCCTTTCTTGGTCTTTTAACTATCTTCAGCAATTTTGAAAGCTCCTTGTGAGTACGTAGCATCATTTTTTACCTTATTTGATGTAAAAGCGGTAACCGTTCTTGGGGTCCCTTCATGATGACCAACAACCCATTCAGGCCGATTCTTTTTAATTTTATTTTTTTGTAATTCTTTAACCACTAAACAGACTTCGTAACTAGTAGAATGTGTAACTATATTTTTTATGACACTTTGCGGTCATATGATTATTCAGCACATTTAACACATTTAGTACGATTCAGAACACATCATTATTGTCTTTGTCATAAAATAATTGCTCCTGTTGTATTCAATAAATCGTCTGAAAATATCAAGAATATGGGAATTTTTCCAGAATTTTTAAGAAGTGTAGGATTATGGCTTTTTGGTTTTAATTTTTGTGATGGAGGGACTTTATTACAAATCTAGGTATTACTAGTCAGTGAAATTAATTTTCATTGGATAGGGTTTCATTTAATTTTGTAGATTTTTACCGACCGTATTGTGTATACAATAGGTAGGTTATGTGATGGCAAAAAATTTTGCATATCGAGTTTTCGGTGGGAATACACTTCTCCATCTCTGTCGGTCTGTCGGTCTGTGTGTGCACGCGTGTATCTCAAGTTCAGCTGAATTAATTTTGATGAAATTTTATGTGTAAGTTTATTTCCACCATGGCACGGATTGATCAACTTTTGGGATATATCAGGCCTCGGGAACTGCACTTTTTAGCGGGCCTGTTTTATATTTTTGACCATTTTAAAGAACATATTCAACCGATTTACTTGAAATTTCACATATAAGTTTTGCTTTACCGGTCGCGAAACCTCATAACTTTTGGAAGAAATCAGGTGTCAGCAACTAGACGTTTGCTATGGACCAGATATACATTTTTGCGTATATAAAGAGAAATAATCAACCGATTTCTTTGAAATTTAATATATAAATTCTTCTTATTAAAACAATAAACATATAAATTTCTTGGAAAGATCAGGGCTCGAAAACTGATTCGCGGGCTGATTTTACATTTTTCACCATATTATCGGAACGAATTGATGGAATTTCTTGAAATTTGATATTTGAGTTCTGGTTGTTACCAAAACTAATTGGCGAGCATTTAAGGGAATTCGGGTAGCACAAAGCGAAACTCTATTAAGAGCCAAATTTACATTTTTCTAGGTATGTTAACTATAAGCTTACTAATGCCCTAAAAATTGGAAAGAAGTATTTAACAGGCATTCTTATAATATTCTGTAACACTTTCACTTGACTAGACAATGCACATTGCGGTCGGTTAAGTGCTGACCACATTTTTTTTATTTTGTTCATTTACTAACATTGTTGTATATTTCTCAGTTTTTTCGTCTCCACAAGCTCGGGTATTTAGTACAATTTGTAATTTATGCTTTGAGTTATTCATCATTCATTGAGCATTAATTGCAAATCAATGACTGTTAAGATTTTTATTTTTTGAGTTCATGTAATTTCATTGAATATGGGTATATATCCAGGATACATAGATAGATTACACAGGTTTTCCAAATCGATTGGACGCGAGTCGATCATTGGTCATCTTTCCCAATGTAACGGGTTTTTTACATTACCTTCAGAGGTTTTAATTTTATTATCTTCAGACTTTTTCTCTATTTATAACCGTCTATGGTTTTCCTTCTAGCTTCTTCTATAGGCCTTGAGCGAAACGGTATCATTAATTTCCCCAATTGATCTTTTTCCACTGGAGACTTTATGTTATAAATGACATCTAATAGATTGTTTTCAAAAGCAGTATTTTCACTTTTTCAAATCATTGGCTTGATAAAACATTATTCTTATAATGTTCAAAGTGATTTTTCAGGAATCTATGAAATTTATTAATAAAATTGGAGAATTTATTAATTTTTTTAAATTTTCTTTTAATTATTTTTTTTTAGTGCCGCTTCTCAGCGAAAGACGCTCTGTGCATAGAGCTTTTTAAAAAATAGTGTGGATTCAGGGTGTTAAACACTGTCAAAAATATTGTTAATAATTTCATTGCTAGAAAACATACATACATAATATGTATGTACATACAGTCAGCGTCATAATTAATCGTACGAGTGCTGAAATTACTGAATTTTGGGTTTCTACAGGGCTCACAAAAAAATATTTTTTTCATTTGATTTAATTGATCATATAATCGCTTTCATCTATATATAATGATTAGAAATACAAATGATTCACACTTACATTGGCACTTTGTGTTTTTTTTCTCTTTATTTTCGCGACGTATTTAATCGTACGATAAATTTACCGCTATTTTTCTGATGAAATATTTAGAGTTTTTGAAAAGTATTAACTTATAATCATTCTTAAAGCAACTTTTAAATGCGATGCATTCATTTCTGTAAAAATTTTGATATTAAATTTTAGTTATCAAAGCAATATGGTAAATAATAAAGAAACTAGTATCGAGTTCAGAGAACTTATTATAAAATATCATTTAGAAGGTTTTTCTTTAAACGAAATAGCTAAAATTATTAAAAGAAGTAAATCCACGGTTCAATACATAGTTCAGAATTTTAAAAAAACTGGTTCAGTCAATTATAATAAAAAGTCAGGCGGGCCTAGAAAGTTAAACGAACGAGAAGAGAGACATATTTTACATGAAATTAAAAAAAATCCTAAAATGAGTGGTACCACAATAGCAAAAAGAGTTTCCCAAACCTACAAAAAAGATGTTTCAAATCGTACCATTCAAAGATTGCTAAACAGAAATGGTTTTCATGCCTATACACCAAGAAAAAAACCTCTTATATCTGATAACAATAAGAAAAAAAGATTAGAATTTGCCAAAAGCCATAATAATTCTGACTTGGCTTATTGAAAAAGGGTGATTTTCTCTGACGAGAGTAAATTTAATATTTTTGGACATGACGGGCCATCCAAAGTTTGGAGAAAAACCGAAGAAGCCCTCAATCCAAAAAATTTAGTATCCACTGTGAAACATGGTGGTGGCAACGTCATGGTCTGGGGATGTTTTTCTTGGCACGGGACGGGCCATCTGGAATTTATCGATTGTAAAATGGATAAATTTCACTATTTAAATATTCTCAAGGCTAATTTAAAATCATCAGCTCAAAAAATGGGGTATGAAAACGAATGGATCTTCCAACAGGATAATGATCCTAAACATACTTCTGGTATTGTTAAGGAGTGGCTCCTATATAATGTGCCAAAACAACTTCATTCGCCTCCAAAATCACCGGACCTCAATCCCATAGAGCACATTTTGGCTTTTTTGGAAAGTCAACTTGGGAAACACCATATAACTTCGAAAGAAAGCCTTAAAACTGCTATCAAACAAGAATGGGAAAATATTCCGCTAAAATTCCTACAAAAATTAATTGAATCAATGCCAAATAGAATTCAGGAGGTGAACAAATTTCGGGGTGGAAATACAAAGTACTAAAAAAATGCTGTGATAGAAAATAAAGTGCTGTTAGTTATGCGTACGATTAAATATGTCGCGTTTTTGAATTGAATTTTTAAGTTTTTTGTTTATATTTTGTTTGTTTTTATAATATTGGAAAAAATGAAGGCTGAATAATAAATAATTTTTGTTTTTGATTAGTTTCTATCTAAAAATTGAATTTGTTTTATAATTTTTTCTCTTTTTATAAGCTTTTTGCAACCGTACGATTAATTATGACGCTGACTGTATATTAGGTCTGTCTGGAATGAAAGTTTTTAAAAACTTTTAAAAATTTTAAAAAGTTTTGGCATTCGAAGTGATACTACTTTTCGAAGAAAAATGAAAGAAAATGATGACGTTCTCATTTTCTCACTGTTTAAAGTTTTTTTAAGTTTTGGAAAGTAAAATTTAGTGTTTTAAAAACTTTTAAAATTTACAGCTGTCGAAACATATGTTTTTCTTGATTATGTCAGAAGCGTAATAATATTTTTTTTAATTAAAAATAAAATAAAATAACCGAAATGGGTTCACAAATAGTTTTTTCTAAGTTTCACACTTTTATAATCCAAATTTATTTTATATACGTACTTTTTGTGTACGTATTATGCAAATGCGTATATTTATGTATATACTTTTGTTTTTTACAAATGCAATTGATTGGATAGATATTTCTCGCAAATTATTTTAAAAAATTTTGTTGAAAAAAAAAAGAGTGGCCGTTTTCATTTTCTTTCACTTCATATTTACACACGATTCAATAGCTTTGACAAGACGTTTGCAGAAAGAAGATTTTAATGTAATAAAAGTTAACCATATCCAAAAATAAAACAATTGAGAAAAATTTTACAAAAAAATTTAAAATGAAGAAAGGAAAATTTTATGAGAAAATTTTCTTTGCACAATTTTGTTCTCGCTCAAAATAATTGTTTTTACTAGGTGATTTGAAAGAACATTCTGCATAAATTAAAAAAGGTTTAAGTTTCATCAAAAATTAAAAAAAGCTGATTTTTTGTTTTTGGATTTATTTTGACATTTATACACACCACGTTTTAAAATTACACATACGTAATTAATATAAATAATCTAAACTAAGGTTTTATTACTGTTAAATTAAGTTATACTCGTATATACACACATTTGAAAATTAATGTGTGTACCTTTTGTGTTATCAAAAATTTTATTTGTATTTTAAGTAACATTGCGAACCATACAGGTCAGGACATTGTTTTCAGTTTAAAGCAAATTTTTTTAATATTTGAATTATTTTAAATATGTTGAATAAGTTTACCTTGATATTACGAGTATGTATTATAAAGTTATATCAAATGAGCGGGATTTGAGAGAGCCCTTATCTAATTCAACGGGTTGAACTGAATAATATTATTATGATACCATTATATTCAAAGAGTTTATAGTTTTGGGAGAGCCATATGCAGAACTTAAAAAATCTTGTTGTTTTCAAAATTCATCTAAAAAGCAAAAGAAATAAGCACAAAAAGCCAATGACCAGGAACACTTATTCTTTTTTTACATATTTTACGTACCTAGTAAAAAATTGTTTTAATGTATTGAAACGTAGTTACATTTTTATTTAAATATAAATATGTATGTGAATATGAATTGTTATATATGTATGCGTTATGATTTTAAATATGTATTCAAAAACACAATTACATGTTTATTAGTTATATTAGTCTACTACTATTCTTAAATATTTTATAGACTCTCTTCCGTAATATGTGAACATAAATTATTCAAATAAAAACCTGAAAAATAACTACTTTTTAATATAGATTTTTTTTAAATATCATATTAAATAAATGTACGTGTATTTGTTAAAAATGCGCACGCAGGGTATTCTGATATTTATTCGAAAATCCCATACACATATACTGGATACCTTAGAAATTGTTTATAATTTCGAGATGAAATATTAAAAAATAAAGTGTATGGGATAGAAATTTTTTTTTCCATTCGAATCTCTCCAGCCTAAATTTAAAAATAATTTAAATTGCTTGCTAATTTAATTTTTATATTAAGAGAAATTAATAAAATTAATATTTTTTAATAAAAATAGTGAAATTTAGAAAAAAGTTTTTTTTTTTTGCGAAAAAATGGTATAAAAAAAGAAATTAAAAGGTTTTTTTTATGTAAATGTTACTATACATTACTATATAATGTTCACTTATGTGTCTATATTGTATAAATATTTATATACATAAAATACATATATAAAATATAAAAATCTATACAATAAAGGTTTTCGGTAATACTACATATAGAATTTTTTTTTAAGCAATGTCTGACAATCAGCAAAGGTAATTGTTTGTTTAAAAAAAAATAAAATGTTTTTGCAAAAGTGTAATTCATTTGTAATAATTTCGATTTAAGAACTTCCTGTTTGTTCATATCTCGCATATATTTCGTAATTTTTTATTTCAGTTTTGTGAAAGAATATCAAATTATATGAGAAATATATTTTTATATATTTATGCTTTTTTTAAACTGATAAAGAACGAAAAAAATTAATGTTTTTTAAAATTTCAATTTATTTTGAATTTCGTTTGTTATTCCTACTTAAAGCTCATTCTATAATATTTTGTTTTGAAAATTTTCGAATATATTAAAGTTAAATCAAAGAAATATTTTTGAATATAATTGATACAATTTTTTTATTTTACTCTGGAAATAAAATAATTGTTAATACTTATACAATAAATTTTATATTAAAATTTAAAGCTTTATTATAATGACCACAATAATTATTTATAAATATTAAAATTATAATTAACTTTAAAATAAATTAATATTTACAATAAATAATCAAAAAAATTATAAAATCCTAATATTTATTAAAATCTTATTCATAAATTTCAGTTCCATTTTAAATAAGTTTAATCAATAATATAGTTAATTAACTACAATTACTTCGTATATTAATAATTTCAGAATTAAATGTTTAAGTGAAGAAGTTAAACAAATACGATTATTGTCAAATTCAGATGTTAAATCAAATTCACTTAATAATTCCGTAAAAGATTCAACAAAGCCATTAAAAGTCCATAATCAACATCATAAATCAAATATTGAAACAACAAAAACTACTGAAAATGTTGTTGATGGAACATTTGGAAATTCAGAGAAACCAATTGGTTGGATGTATGGTCTATTTGGATGTATGAAACCAATATTATCACTTATTGGTAAATCGGGTGTAATAGAAATAAAGGGAAATTTTTCTGAAGATTGGGAAATACCATTTGAAGCTATAAGTGAACTTGAATGGCTTGGAAGTGGAGCACAGGGTGCTGTATTTCGTGGAAAATATAAAAATGAATGTGTTGCCGTTAAAAAAGTGCGAGACATCAAAGAAACGGATATTAAACATTTAAGAAAGTTAGATCATCAAAATATTATTAAATTTAAGTAAGTATTCTTTTATTTTTCTCTAAATTTTCCACATAATGTCAATGATATTCTAAAAATTGACGCAGTAATTGCTAACATATCTTGACTAACGTATACATAATATGTTGAGCAAATGTTTACATAACATTTTAAAAATAAAATATATTAAAGTTTAGAATTAGAAAGACTTTTCTGATGTGGTGCCAAATCAATTTTACATAAAAATAGGTACTTATATTATTGCCTCAATTTTATTGATATTCTAATAAACACCTTTATATAATTTCACTTTGTGCCACCCGCATTCCTTAGAAAATTAGTTTCGGTAAGAAGCAGAATTCAAATATCAAATTTCAAGAAATTCCATCAATTCATCAAGTAGATGTGTTGAATAAAAAATGTAAAATGACCCATATGAAATTGGATAATAATTTCTCTTTATATATGCAAAAATATGAAATCGGCCCGTTAAAAAGTTCACTTCTCGAGATCTGATATATCCCAAAAGTTGATCAATCCGTGCCATGCACACATAAAACCATTACACATACATATTATAAGCTACAACGAAGTTTCAGGTTTTCTTAAAGGTAACTCTTCAAATAGAAAAAATGTTTATTTAAGTTCGAAAAAAAGAGTTCTGTAAAAGTTTCCGTATTTAATTCGCAATATGAACTCACGTATTTAAACTGTTAAAGTTTTTCGCAATCGATTGATATATTATTTTTATTAAATTAATTTATTATGATTAAAATCATAGCACTGAAAAATTTCGTTAAGCTTTTGCTATTTTATATTAAAATTTATTTAACAAAAAATCAATAAGAAAACAATTGCAATACTATAAATAAGAGAAATAACACAGATGCCCCTTCCATTAAGAATATTTTCATAAGTACACTGATGTGTATCTCGTCTAAAAGAGACCTCGAAAACTTCAATAATTTGAGAATATTTCTTTTCTAACTCTGGCTAAAAATTTTGTCTTTGAAGATATTTTACTCTTAAAAAATCAAAGTTCTTTTCCCAATACATCCTTGGCTAGATACAACAAGATATCAATAAATTTGCAAGATAAATCTTTTCGAAACAAAAGCCTTAACTAGGTTGACAATACTTCATAGCTTATACCAATGTTAAATTTAATTAAGTCTAAATCTCTACCTCAGCTCTCAAATAACCTAGCAGGTTTGAGTGCTGGCTTCAATATACCTAATTTTTATTTTAATTATATAAGTAGATGGACTAAATTATACTTTATATTTTTGTTTTTAAGGGGTGTTTGCTCACAGTCGCCAGTGTACTGCATTGTAATGGAATATTGTCCAAACGGACCTCTGCAGAATATAATAAAAAGTGAGAGTTCTTTACTTCCGGCACGATTACTTTCATGGGCTAAGCAAATAGCACGAGGAATGCAGTATCTACACCAACATAAAATTATACATCGCGATTTAAAAAGTCCAAAGTAAGTGAAAGTGATGTTAGTATCCATTCTCTGTAGGAAATTTGACATAGTAAGAAGCAAAGCAGAATATTTAAAAACTAGTAACCATTTTTGAACAAATAATAGGTAACTTTTTGATTACGGAATTTCCAAATTAATATCTTTATTGATTGTGTAGATATTGATAGAGTCTACCTATCTATTATAACCCATTTGATTCTGTTAATCTATTCTATTTGTTATAACCTAACAGTTGTCACTAAAAATACCTTGCTAAAACCAGCAAGGTACGCAATACTTAAATATTTTCCATTAAATCTGAATAAATCTATTAAGTAAAATCTTTATTTTATAAATGCTGTAAAAATACTTAAATTTGAATCACTTTAATTTCTTTTCCAACAGCATATTGATAGGGCAAAACCAAGTTGTCAAGATCAGTGATTTTGGAACTAGTCGTGAATGGAACGAGGTCAGTACGAAAATGAGTTTTGCCGGAACAGTAGCATGGATGGCACCAGAAGTTATTCGCAATGAACCATGCTCTGAAAAAGGTATTAAATAAAATGAAGCAATTGCTTATTTTCACTTTATATTTTTTTAGTTGATGTTTGGTCATTTGGTGTTGTTTTGTGGGAAATGTTAACATGTGAAATCCCTTACAAAGATGTAGATTCTTCTGCAATAATATGGGGTGTTGGAAATAATTCTCTACAGCTACATATACCATCAAGTTGTCCGGAAGGATTTAAATTGTTGGTTCAACTTTGTTGGAATACAAAACCTAGGAATCGACCATCATTTAGGCAAATCTTATCACATATAGAAATTGCAGGGTCGGAATTATTAAAAGATTGCGATATAGACTTTATTAAAAAACAAAGTTGTTGGAAGGAGGAGATTCGTAATCATATGAAAAAAATTACGCAAAATGGTACGAACATACACAAATATGAAGAAGATTTAATTAAACGTAGAACAGCAGAATGGCAACATGCTCAAGATATTCGTAGAGTTTACGAAGATAGATTGGAGAAAACAAATAAGCTATTTCTCGAGTTGAGTGAGTGTTTGACACAGCTGCAGGAAAAAAGAAAAGAAATTACTGAGTAAGAAAACACTCTTAATTTATATTGCTCTCCTTTTTCCTTTGTATAAAGACTAAGTTAAATTTTTTCACTTTTAATGAAAAGTAAAATCGGCATTCACTATTAAAAATAGAAAAGCGTTAATGTACTTGATGCAAAATATATTATATTTGTTTTACAATTTTAACTTGTAAAGGCAACAATGAAAATAATTGGGTTATGCGAAATTTGATTTAACAATAAAAGTTAATCTTTTCTAAGTTGGTTATGCAACGTTTGGGTGATAAATGTCAAGAGCGAGTGCTGTTTACGCTAATTCCCAAATTTTCGCTAAATGAAATGAATTAAAATTGTTTGGATTAACTTAAATTCGATGTTAAAACAAAGAATTCGTTTTTATATTTAAAATATAACACTTTCATCTTACTATATCTGAACGTAAAAATGTTTTTTAAACTAGTGCATGTTTTAATTAGACTGGATTATTAATTTCGCCAGTACATATATATTTATATTCAGTTCGCTGAGATAGAGTAAATAATAAATATATGTATGTTATTTATGAAATACGTAAAGATTTAACTAAACATTTACTGCGTTCCTATAAAATCATATTAAGTAAAATATAATTCCTTAAACGGTTTTAAATATGAGGATGTTTATGACCCTATACTGTTATAAATTTTAATTTTACTTTCAGGTTGGAAAAAAAACTTTGCAGTTATAAACCTTCACGAAGAATCGGAAATACGTTTCGTAAATTTCAATATTATAGGGGAAAAATGAGTAATTCTTCATCATTAAATTCATGTGATCAGTCGACCACACCTAGTCCTAATACAACTCCAGAGGTAAGTTAGTGTACGTGAATTAAGATTTAAGCTATTGTAAGTACTCATTTTCGCTGTGACTGATTTTTATAAAAATTTAGTATTTTTTACAACCAATAACATTTTTAGTTTTTAAAGTGCTACCTAGAAATTGATTTCCCTAACTTATTTTAACTTCATCAATGGAAGAAGAACGGGCGATCACTCATTCTTTTTTTATTCCATTCCATTCATAATTGTTGGATTACATTAATAAAATGACAAAACCTTTAGGAGCTAGTAATAGTGATCAGAAACCAATTACAAAATTAATGTCTAAAGTAGTTTATTTAAAATTTTTCTCAAATAATTCTTCATGAAATAGCAGTCAAATATGAAAGGAAATTTCCTTCGTCTTATCAAAAAGTTTCTTTATGATAATTATACCCGTACGAACGTATGTTCGAAGGGTACACTAAATTTGCCTTACCGTTTGTAACGCTAAGAAATAACGGTGCTAGGTATAGATTCAAGTGTATGTTTTTGATCAGCGATGATTTTGATTAACTAAAAAACTAATTAAGCGAAGTTCACCAAATTTTCACAAACGATTTATTGTAGTAAGTGCCAGAACCCTATTCAAATTGGAACAGACCCCTATTCAACAAGTTCAAAATTTATGTGGCTATATCTCAGAAACTATAGAAGTTGTGGTATTGAAACTTCACACCAACGAATATATTAGTAGGGCCAATGTGTCTCATAAAAGTCGTTGAAATTGCTTGGCTCCTTATGGTACCTGCCATACAACTTCAAAAGTTATTTGACTACATTTTAGGATCTATAAAAGCTATGGTGTTGAAATTTCACACCAACGAATATATTAGTAGGGCCAATGTGCCTCATAAAACTCGTTGAAATTGCTTGGCTCCTTCTGATAGCTGTCGTACAACTTCAAAAGTTATTTGGCTATATCTCAGAAACTATAAAAGCTGTGATATTGAAATTTCACACAAGCAAATATATTAGTAGGGCCGATGTGCTTCATAAAATTCGTTAAAATTTTTTGGCTCTTTCTAGTAGCTGCCGTTAAACTTCAATAGTAGTTTGGCACCCACAGTATTTTGAAAAACACATAGCACTGAAATTTTGTATAAATTAATATGGTAATACGGCAACTTAAGGTATGGGACATAGTCTGTCCCATAGTCAGTTATGGCATCTTTATTCGCACATAGGATAACAAATTCGTACGGGTATCACAGAGTTGACAAGGTCAACTCTATTTTTTTTCTCGTTTTTAATCAAATTTTATTTTTTTAAACTATTCTTATAACAAGAATGTTACGATCACTTTAATCGAAAAACCGAAAAAGTTCACAATAAATTTCGATCAAGGAATTTATAGATTTTCAATTTAGACTGCTGACTACTATTTTGGGTAAGACAAATTGGGAGATTTCAAGGCCTCCACGCTCGCGGCTATAGTATCCCCGTTCCAAATATGAAGCTGGGATTCGATCTGTATGATTAATCCTTAAGGTTTATGTTGTGATAAAATAGGAGGAAACTTGTAGTAGATGTTAATATTGCATTAATTAAATATTAAAATTAATATTAATTTTATTCGATACAATTCATGCGATACTACATAATATTACTTACAGTTATTAAATAAATTTTTTTGAATGTACCACTCTTTTGATATGATCATAATTTTAGAGTCCTGTGAAAGCAACTTTGTATTCACACTTTACGGATCTTGAACAACCGAGATCAGTTGCTGTTACATCACAAACAAAGTACCGTAAAAGTAGATACCATCGAAAAAATTTGGGTTGTTATGCTTTGATAACAAAAATGAATAGAAATAGAACAGAACAGTGCCTAAATGATATTATATTACCCGATAAACCACAATTAATGAATTCTGAAACTCAAACTAATATATTGGATCTTACACATAGTGAAAATTTAAATATGGTGTGTGATCAGACAAACAATGGGCTATCGCCTGATGATATTTTAACCATGAATGCAGAAAAAAAATTGCCAGGAATCTCATCAGAACAAAAAGAAGACAAATATGAAGAAGAAACTACTTGCTTTCGTCCACAACATTTAAATTTATTAAAGAAACAATCGCAGTCATTAGATATAGAACATATTTTGTTACAGAGTCCCAATGGAAATTCAAATATTTGCAAAACTTTTCCTATGCAATTAGAAAATGCACATAAGAAATGGACAAAACACTCTCGAAAACCAGAAACTGTCCCTAATATAAATGATATTAATCAGAACAATGATATTACTAGTGATACAAATTCATCAGATGACAAAGCAAATACTATTGACGATGACAATATTTTTGATCAATGTGATTGCGAAAATTTTTACCAGAATAATGTCAATAACAATAATGAAAAGCTTCACTCAGATGCAAAAAGTTGCAACTTGAATGAAAATTTGCACTCATCTGAACAAGGCCATAATGACAATTATGCCAAACAAAATTGTACTGATTTAAATCGTTGTAGTTTCTCTAAAATTAAATTACCTTTGTACAAAAACCTTCATACTTGTACTGATCGCAGTTCACCTATTAATAAAATGTCTACTGTAAGCAGCTCAAATAATTTAACACAAGATGATTGGACTGATGACGAAGAATTCAATAAAAATTTTCTCATACGTCGCAAAAGGTTAGTTTGCTGATTAGCTAAATTTTATTACTTGCAAAACCACTGTTTTTCTTTTTAGCGGTACCCGACTTCCGATAAGAGGAAAGTACCGACGATGTTATAAACAAAAAATTAAGCAAGTTATTCCTGTAGAAAAATCAGATGATGATAGTATTTCTGACAGCTATTCGGAAGATATATGCAATTTACAAAACAAATCGCATTTTATTGGAATAAAAGATAGTAGTATGCGCTTGGATACGTAGAATAATAAGTAGTAATAAAGATGCAAAAATTATTGTAATGTATATATTTTATATAATAATATTAAATGAATACCTGAACTTGAGAATAAATTAATAACAATTTTTTCAAAGAGTCGATAAATAAAATTACAAGAAGCTTAGAGTTTACAAAGAAATTTTGATTGTATTTATTTATTTTTGCCAAGTATTGGGGTACTAAGCATTCGGAGCTTTATATTTGGGACACGGATACTATAAGTGCGAACGTGCGGGAACAAGAGCATTAAAAATTATTAAAAAATATTCCCTTACATTGGAATACATAAAGATGCAATATAAAGTAAATGCTTATTAATTTTATTATTTACCAATTATCTATCTTTATTGTTATTTTCCAATACCTTTAGCATTGCTTAAATTAATAAGAATAAAGATATTAAGACATACTTTCGGGTAAAAGTTGATGGAGCTTATAGTGCTGAAAAAGTGAAGAACCGAAAAATGAAATTTTGACAGTTTTTAGTGTAGAGAGGGGTGGTGCGAAGAAGTTTCCTCCCTAATAAATAAAATATTTAACTATCTCAATAATTTTTTGAAATTTGAGGCTTTTCCGATTTGTCCTATTACCATGCTTTCGAGTTTCATGTCAAGTAGAAAAAGTTCATTTCAAATATATGAAGTCACTAAGCAATTTTAATTAAAATGGTTATTGAAACTTTTTAAACAATTATATAAGTATATACAGAGTACAATATTATATATCAGACATGTCAAACTCATTATCATCACAGGGCATTTTAGTGTTTCTGGACATTGCTCCGGACCGCACAATAAAAAAAATTCAAACTATTAAATTATACACAAATTTTGATTTTTATTATCAACATAAAAAGTAATTATAAAACTTAAGTAACATAAATTTTTTAATTTCGAAAACAACTGTTCACACAAAAATGTGCTTCCGAATATGGCTAACACACTCTTAGCACATATTACACAAATAGTAAAATATTGGGAAACAGATTTATAGGTAACTAATTTTAAAATTAAGTAATTTCCACTTCTCCAAAATTTTGTTTTAATACAGGATCGCACAGCATCCTGTTTTCAATTGTATATTTGCACCACCTGTTTCAATAGAAACAAAAAAAGGAAAAGAAAAAAATTCGACATCTATTAAAATCTAAAAATTTTCTTTCTAATTCAGCTTTTAAAAATTTATTCTGATTAGAATATTCGAAAAATTATCAATTTACTTAACTGGCTCACTCTGTACAAAAAGAAAATTAAACTGGTTGAAACATATACATATTTGATTAATAGACACATTGAACATTCGCTTTCCACTTCTCGAAACGAACTAACGTAAAAATTCGATTACAGCTACATTTACATACGGTTGTGTACTTTTCGCATATGCACAACTTTTACCGACCGTATTGTGTATACAATAGGTAGGTTATGTGATGGCAACAAATTTTGCATATCGAGTTTTCGGTGGGAATGCACCTCTCCATAGTAGGGAAGTGTAAATAAACTATTTTTAGCAACCTGTCGGTCTGACGGTCTGTGTGTGCACGCGTGTATCTCAAGTTCTGCTGAACCGATTTTGATGAAATTTTATATGTAAGTTTATTTCCACCATGGCACGGGTTGATCAACTTTTTTGATATATCAGGCCTCGAGAACTGCACTTTTTAGCGGGCCTGTTTTACATTTATGAACATTTTAAAGAAAATTTTAACCGATTTTCTTATAAATTCATATATAAGCTTTGCTCGACCGTCCGCGTTTACTACGGGCCAAATATACATTTTTGCGTATGTAAAGAGAAATAATCAACCGATTTCTTTGAAATTTAATATTTAAATTCCTCGTATTAAAACAATGAACATATAGATTTTTTGGAAAGATCAGGGCTCGAAAACTGATCTGCGGGTCGATTTTACATTTTTCACCATATCTACGGAACGAATTGATGGAATTTCTTGAAATTTGATATTTGAGTTCTGGTTGTTTCAGGGCGAGCATTTCAGGGAATTCGGGTAGCACAAAGCGAAACTCTACTAAGAGCCAAATTTACATTTTTCTAGGTATGTTAACTATAAGCTTACTAATGTCCTAAAAATTGGAAAGAAGTATTTAACAGACATTTTTATTATATTATGTAACACTTTCACTTAACTAGACAATACACATTGCGGTCGGTTATGTGCTGATCACATCAGATTTTTTTTATATGTGTGACAAACCTATCATAAAGAAATGCTTGACGATTATCCCTTCCAGTTAGGAGAAAATATATGTATGATGGCCCATTTTGCACGAGATGTTAAAGATTATTTAAATGAAGCTTTTAGAGGTAGAGACTCAACGACAAGGTCACATTCCAGGCTTGCAAGATTCCCAGACTTAAAGCTGATGGATTTATTTTATGGTGTTATCTAAAGAGCTTCGTTTACAGCAAAACAATACAGACTCGAGAAGAATAATGGAATAGAATAAATGAATGCTGCTAAAATTTAAGATTGATCGAAAGAAATTTTTCCAATAAGTTCAAGCAAATATTTATAAGAAAATTTTAAAAAGCACTAGATGTTGATCAATTTGAAAATTTGATATATGCAATTTAATTTTAGGCAGTAAACCTACCAATACCTGCAGAAAAATTAATTTTTTTTAAATCATTTCAGTGCCGCAATTTTGTCAAATTGTTATGGGAAATTAATTTTACTTTTAAATAATTATAAAAAAAAACTAAAAAAAAAACAAAAAAATAATAAATTTTTGAATTCATATTTTTGAAGAAAATTTGTAAGAATTTTGAAGCGCAAATTGCAAAATTTGGGGAAAAAATTTTTGAAGTTTTATAAAATTTTGGGTAATTTTGTTGGGATAAAAAAATAGAAAAATTAAATTTAAAAAATTCAATTTTTTTGAAATTAATTACCATTCCGAAAGTACTCCAGATAGAAAACTAAACCAATGATAACATTGCCCTGAATTCATTAAAAAATACTTTCTAGAACTTTGAAATTCAAACTTCTATCTGCCTTCAAACAGAAGCTATAAGGAAAAGATTGTAAGCAAATGAAACTTACATCAAAAATTCTTAAAATCCCTGTATTTCGGAAATCATTGATATGTTTTTGAATATCCTATCGTTGATCCGCCCGCAGCTCAAACAAAATGTACGATTTCAATCGGAAAAACACCTCTCACTGCCAAAACGCGGAGCTTCCAAGACTAATGACATCTTTTCAAAATAAGCCTACTTTTATACAAAAAGTAAACCAACTAATATTTATAAGTATATACAAACTTACTTCTTTGCTCAATAAAACTTCTACGGTTAACATACTTACTATTACCTGTAAACATGCTAAGAAAAAATGTAATTATACTAGAAAGTGTCATTATTTGCATTCGTTTAGTAAAATGTCATTTGTATTTTAGCCACAATGTGTATTGTCTAGTTAAGTGAAAGTGTTACAAAATATTGTAGAAATGCCTGTTAAATACTTGTTTCCAATTTTTAGGGCTTTAGCAAGCTCATAGATAACATTCCTTTGTGCTACACGAATCCCCTGAAATGCTCGCCAGTTAGTTTCGGTAACAACCAGAACTTAAATATGAAATTTCAAGAAATTCCTCAGATCAGTTTCCGAGCCCTGATCTTTTCAAAAAATTTAAATGTTCATTGTTTTAATACAATGAGGAATTTAAATATTAAATTTCAAGGTGAATTATTTCTCTGTATATACGCAAAAATGTGGCCCATAGTAAAAGTCCAGTTGCTGATGCCTGATTTCTTACAAAAGTTAGGAGGTTTACGGTCTAGTGAAGCTTATATTATTGATCAATCTGTATTCGAATATATTCGTAGTTGATGGAATCAATAGTCGAAATGAACTTACATATAAAATTTCATCAAAATCGGTTCAGCCGAACTTGAGAAACACGCGTGCACACACAGACCGTCAGACCGGCAGGTTGCTAAAAATAGTTTATTTTCACATCCCTACCGTGCGAGAAGTGCGTTCCCACCGAAAACGATATGCAAAATTTGTTGCCATCACATAACCTACCTATTGTAACGTATACACAATGCGCTCGAAAAAAGTAAAAAAATTAAAAACACTAAAAAGAAGCATTAACGTTGAAATTTCATATTACTGAAAGCTTGCAGTTGTCATATTCAATGTGAACTATAAATGGAAGTTTTAAAATCGGGTGCATTAAAGATATATTTAAGTTTATTGAAATTTGTTTTGAATATATTTTAAAGAAAGTAAAAACTATGTACACTAGTTAATTTATAATTTTAAAAATGAATACAAATTAATAATATATATTATTAAAAATAAATACGAGTATACTTCGTTCCACCCCTTTGTAATACATATATTCTTATTTTTAGCACTTTTCCAAAAATTTTTTGAAAAAAAGTGCTTATTAGTTTCACTCTGTCCGTCCGTCGGTCTGTCCGTCCGTGGACACCCCTTTTTGTTTACAAAACTTCTACACCCTTGAAGATAGAAAGCTGAAATTTAATACGGACATAGATGTTTACTAGAAACTTATTTCCGTAGAACAAAATTTTTACTTATCTCCCCTAAAAATTATACCCACCCAAAACCCTAAAAATGCCCTTTTTTAACTATTTGTTGCAATGACACTATTAGCATTTTTTAAATTTTGCAAACACAGAAAGACAGCGGCTTGCTTCCCCTAGCGCGGTATACTATAGTTAAACTTTAGAAAAACAAAATGGCCGTTCAAATTTACCGTTATCTAAAGTCCTTTTCTTCCAAATTTTTTGATGTCGTTTTTCTTCTAGACCCCAGCCTGTAAAAGCTTGAAATTTTAGGGGCTTTTAGACAAATAGTTCATTTCCTTAGAAGAAAATTTTTTTCCATCTCCACCCCCTCTCAAGTTATCGCCTCTTGAAATTTGTAAAATTTGAATTTTTGACACCTTACATTTCCGAAACCACAAGCTTTTTCAAATTGCTATAAACACAAAAGGCTAACGGTAAATTCCGTGACATTAAAAAATATAATTATTTTTCTTAACTCACACAATTAACCCTTAAAATCGAGCATTATGTTAATCCGTCTTTATATTCATTTTTGCTTTATTTCAAAGACTTCATGCATCATCCTAAATATATGTAATCCTAGAAATAGCTTTGTATATGAATGAAAATAATTTTAATAGTGTGATAGGTATACATAGAGTGTTTTTAAAAGCAGAATTTTCACTTGTTGAAGGGAAAAGTGCTACAATACAAACCATTGGTTTGACCCAACTTTATTTATTATACTTTTTGTTCTGTTATTTCGAATACAAACTTATGTTCCAAACTCCTTGTTCTTTACAATAAAAAACTTGCGACAAAATATAATTGTTTTTACACGAAATTTTGTTTGAAATCAATTTTAAATAAATAATCTATTTAGGCAGATACCTTGCTTTCTGTTTGTTGTTGATGATAAGCCTAAACTGCTACGTTAAGCTCTCGGTACTACTTTTTTCAAGATTTTTTTTTTATTCTACTACTATTTTCTAATTTAATAACAAGAAAGGGGAAAAAATGAGAGGAGTTGGAAAGAATATAGAAAAGAATATTTTAAGGACTTATTTTTTAAATGGACCTGACGCATGACTGTTGCTTTATTTTTTGTATGAAAATAGCCTCATTTTTGAAAGAGTTTGTTAGTCTTGAAAGGTGCGCGTTAGTGCAGTGAGTGGTGTTTTTTCAATGGGAATTGTACATTTTGCTTGAGCCGCACGCGGACTAGGTGTAGGGTATGCAATTTTTTGTATACAAGTATTGGTGAATGATTACATTAGAATGCCAGGCGAACAAGTTCTTAAATAGATATATTTTGGTTGTCATAATAATCTCCTATATATAGTTTTATACCAAAAAAAGGAATAAGTTCAGCACCTTCAGGTGAAATGATGAATCTTCATGAGAGAACTGAGAGCGTCTTGAAAAGTAGTAAGTAAGTAGATGTGTCTTAATGCGACGCATTAATGAATTCACCTTAAATGTTTTAATATTAATTTAATACTATTACTTATGACATTTTTAAAAAATTTATTTTTGTTAAAACAATAATATTCTGTAAAATTTAATTTTTTCGTTTTTCTTTAATATTAGTTCCAGAATATTTCTGGAACTAATACCTTTTGGTAACACTGAGTAATTTCATTCTGAGAAAAAAACTTTATCATCTGAGTGAAATTTTTTAAGTAATGTAATGAGTAGTGAAAAGACTATATAATGAAGAGAAATTTAAAAGTGTTATATTTTCTCTTAAAAAAATTAAAATTTACATTGAAAATGTGTTGAAAGCTTTTTGCAATACTTACCATACTATGAGTAACATACAAAGGTATATTGGGAACAGCGTTGCCACTCCTGATAAAATTAATGAGCCAAATTTTTGAAAAAAGGCAAATTATTTATTTGATATGCTTAATTTTAGAAATAAAACATTTTTTTGAAGTCTATTTTTAAATTTAATTCCCCTTTCAACTTTTTTCTTTCATATTTAAAATTAGGTTGCGTTTTTGGTCTGTTGTGTGAAGTCTAAAAAATTTTCAGAATATATATAAAATTTTACCTTTAACAAAACATGCATATACACAAAAATTATAACATAACGTTGATAACTCCGATACACGATTTCATAACTTCATTTGTTAGATTTTTAAAATGAAATTTTATATAAAGAGAAAAATTAAAGTTTTCTTCCAGACTTAGAAAACAGGCCAAATACGAATTACTACGCAAAATAAAATAATTTAAAGTAATTTAATTTTAATTTTTTTTTTGTTTAAAATAATTTTTGCCCGTGAGGCAAAAATATTGGTCATGTTTGGCCCATCTATGCCAAAGTGGCAACACTGAATGTGCATAATGATTTATGAATTGAAAAATGCAAATAGTGTTATACTCGTACGTTATTACGAGTTATATTATTTGGTTTACACGTTAACTTTATGTTCTTATATGTGGCTATAGATGTTTACATTCTTATAATCATTATGCATATGCTTATCTTGACATTACAAAAAATCAGTATTTCTGTCAGCCGTGATGTATATAAATGGTGTACGAAGAGGGTATATAAAATTCTTAAAGAAATACCAAAAATGTGTTCAAAATAAACACACACATTCATATAAAATTTCTCCTTTTAATTTCCTTCAATAAGTTTTTTACCTTAAAAACATATATGTATGTGTTTTGATTACGATATTTGTGCTATGAGTTCTCTGCCTCTGTGAATGATGTATATATACTACCAGCTCTTTTCTATTACAGTTCAGTAATGATTTAGTGCTTATAACATTCAAAGTAAAAAAAATTGTACAACTGATTTTTTTTTTTTTGGAAATTTTTCTATTGAAATATAAAATTTTTTTTTGATTCAGCTATTAAAAAAAAACGTGTTAAATCGAAATTATACTATAATATAAATACATACATGTGTATATATTTTTTGAAAAATATACAAATGAATAAAAGTAGAAACAATCAAAATTAATAATGTTTTTAAAAGTTATTTTTTAGTGCAGTAGTATAAATTTAATATAACATAAAAAAAAAATTTATAAATTTCAATTTCTTATAAATAATAAAAATTTTTTGATTCTTTTTACAAGAATATTGTCAAGGCTTTTTACTCCTGACGAGTTTTTTTTTTATTTTTTTATAAATTTTAAAGGTAATTAAAATGTAACTTATTTAAAAAAAATCTATAAGTGATTATATTTTATAATAATTATATTTATTTAGTTTATGAATTAAATATTCTTTCAAATAAAAAATTTTTATAAATAAAAATATTTCTAATTAAAAAAACTACGTACATGCATACATAATATTATTTTAAAAGAATGTCCTTGTTACACATACTATTTCAGAAATGAGTACATAAATAGTATAACAGTATATAATTTTTTTTTCACTGAAAATAATAGTATATTAAATCGATATTTTAAAAGTTGCACACAATCAGAGATTAGCCACGTGGTTTCATATTTATTTTCATGTTTCATGTACAATATTTTATGTACGAACACCAGTCGTATTAAACAATGTTATTTCTTAGTAATACATGGGATACATTTATGTATATAAATAGTGCTACCATCTAAGGAAAAGATCGTTAAAAATTTATTCATTTTTGCTGAATTTATTTACTTAAATATTTTAGATATTTATTAAAATGTAATATTTAAAGTTAAGCTTTGTACATTTATTTTATAAACCTATTTCTAATTTAAAATTTGAATTTAATTCTTATTAAACTTTTTTCACACTTAAACACTTTTCGGGTACAATTTCTTTAAGGGAAACTTAATTTCTTTAAATATAACTCCCTATTTATATTTATTTGAAAGCTTGAATTTAGTTGAATATATTGTAATTTGTATAGCTCTGCTTACAAAACTTTTGTTGGGCAATATGTAAATTGATAGAGTTATAATTTCATTAGAAAAATTATTTTAAAAACGAGATATGTATAATTCTTTGTACACACATACAATATGCTTAACAGACATATGTACATACATTCATAATATTATATTTTTTGTATTTGTTTTATTTAAATTTAAAATTTCGTTTTTCTCTTTACAAAATGAAACAAAAAAGAATAAATTTTTCGTATACAAATTTGTTTTACCTCATTTTTCGTATTTAAGTTTATCATCAATATTCAAAACACGTCGATGTACAAGTAAATTACCAATCACACGACTAATGTCTTCTTTAAATTTTCATAATAACTTCTTATTTGACTCAATTGATGGTTTAATAACTGATAAACTAGTACCACTTAAGTATAACGTTTTGAGAGAATTTAAAAAACTTGCTTTAAATTTTTTGTTAATTTACGGAAACGTTATTCTAAAATAATTTTAAATATACGTATATGAAATATATGTATGTTCTTTATTAATATTACATTTGTGGTAGGAAAAAATAAATTAAATGAATATACATGTTCAAAATGTTTTGCAATAAAAGAATAGCAGAACCTGTTCCAAAATTTCTCAATGTTTTAACTTTTTTGTGTTGGAAATCCGCATTAAGTGCGTGGGAAAGGGCGCAACAAACTAGCCCGTAATGCATTGTTATTACATCTGTACAAACTACAATCTACTGCAAATATAATTCTTAAAAAATGTATCGAAAATAATTGGGAAAATATAAAATTTAAGTTATAAATAAGTTAAATTATTATATGAATTAAAATTTTCTGTCATTCTTATATATTTTCTGTCATTTTTTATTTTAATAAATATATTACAGCCCATTACAACATGCGCATAAAATACCTTATTCTTTCAACTACTGTAGCCCGAAAGTTTATAAAATTTAAATGTATTTTAAAGTCACGTTGTTTGACATTCAAAAAACAAAAATAGAAGTAGTTAAAGAAAATTAAAAAACGCATTCTATTTCTATAAGTATTTTTAATTTTTCTTGAGTTTGATAAAAAAAATTTATGTATGTATATGAAACCACAATAACAAAATTTAGTGAAACCTATGAAGTTATACAATGGAAATTATCAAACGCCCGATATATGACTTTTTTAAAAAATTAGTTTTTAATTTAAATTATTTAGAATTAAATCATATTTTTATTTTTATTGAAAAAAAATGATTCAAAAAGAAAAAAAAAGAAACATGTTTGACTACAATAAATTATGAAACTGTTATTGATTTCATTTAGAGACAAATCGACTTACTTTATTTTGTATATCAAAGCTTATTTACGAACACAATAATACATGTTATTAAAATTTAAAAAAAAAGTGTTATTATTTGCTCATTTTGTAGAGTTAATAAATTTAAAAGTGTAAAGTGTTATAATTTTAATTTTATCACATCTTACTATTCCACGAATTTGTACATTTATTTACAAGATTAGACGGAGTGAAATCCTTTTTAAGGTACCTTCTGTTAATGTTCAATCTGAAATTGTTAATTAATAAACCTAAATTTCAACAAGATTTTTATAAGAAAAATTTGTTTTTTAGACATGTAAACGCAATCTTAATTATGTATATAATATATTTTTACATTGTATACGTGCAATTATAGTTGTTGAAATATATATGTACATATGTACATAAAACGTTGACGGAACTATATGCTACCACGCAAGTAACAATTTATAAAATGTTTAGAAGAAGCATAAATAACGCAAGTTAAGTACAAACTTCAATATAATTTAATTAATTCTGTTTCAATGCCTATGCTTGCCCTGCATTAAGCTGAGTTTTATTCTCATTTCGTTTTTAGCACTTTTCCACAAAATTTTTGAAAAAAAGTGCTTATTAGTTTCACTCTGTCCGTCCGTCCGTCCGACCGTCCGTCCGTCCGTCCGTCCGTCCGTCCGTCCGTCCGTCCGTCCGTCCGTCCGTTCGTCCGTCCGTCTGTCCGTGTGTCTGTTTACAAAACTTCTACACCCTTGAAGATAGAAAGCTGAAATTTTGTATGTACATAGATCACTACTAGAAACTTATTTCTGTAGAACAAAATTTTTACCTATCTCCGCCCCTCTAGAAGTTATACTCCACCAAAACCCTAAAAATGTCCTTTTTTAACTATTTGTTGCAATGAAACCATAAGCATTTTTGAAATTTTGCAAACGCAGAAAGGCAGCGACTTGTTTCCCCTAGCGCGGTATACTATAGTTAAACTTTAGAAAAACAAAATGGCCGTTCAAATTTACCGTTATCTAAAGTCTTTTTTTTCCAAATTTTTGATTTCGTTTTTCCTTTAGACCCCAGCCTGTAGAAGCTTGAAATTTTAGGGGCTTTTAGACAAATAGTTCATTTCCTTAGAAGAAAATTTTTTTCCATCTCCACCCCCTCTCAAGTTATCGCCTCTTGAAATTTGTAAAATTTGAATTTTTGACACCTTACATTTCCGAAACCACAAGCTTTTTCAAATTGCTATAAACACAAAAGGCTAACGGTAAATTCCGTGACATTAAAAAATATAATTATTTTTCTTAACTCACACAATTAACCCTTAAAATCGAGCATTATGTTAATCCGTCTTTATATTCATTTTTGCTTTATTTCAAAGACTTCATGCATCATCCTAAATATATGTAATCCTAGAAATAGCTTTGTATATGAATGAAAATAATTTTAATAGTGTGATAGGTATACATACACTGTATTTAAAAGCAGAATTTTCATTTGTTGAAGGGAAAAGTGCTACAATACAAACCGTTGGTTTGACCCAACTTTATTGTTTTTTTACTTTGATGGTGTTGTTGTTTTGGAATAATCCAAATAATATATCCCAAAAATATTTTGTACTATTATACGTTATATTCTTTGCAAGATTGATTTTAGGTAGGCACTTACTTTATCTTTTTTAATCATTTCCAAAACGGCAAGTTTTTTTCTTTTGAATTGGTTCGTTTCATTTTTTTTTTTTTGACACAAAATTAATTTTAAATTATGATACTTTTAATACAACTAAATTAAATGAGAAATAAAACTGTAAGGAATTTTATTTACTGATTTGTAATTACGTCATGTTCGATAAGTTTGCAATTTTTTTTGGTGCAACAGTTATCATTTTTACTAATCAAAAAATAGTAAGTTGGAAAGTTGAGTAGCAAGTGAAATTTGTAAAACTTCTTACAACAAACTTAAAAAAAAACTTATTTTGTAAGTATGATAAGTATCATAAGTGATGAATGATAAGTTGTTGGTGCAAAAGGGCCCAGATCACGATTCGAAAATTTATTTCATCGTTGATTTATCGCCTGCAATAATTGATTTTATTAAAAACTTTGAAAACAATTTATTTGTTACGAGTATTATATTAGCGAAAAAAATGACTTGAATTCTATGATTATTTATGTTGTTATGTACTGCATTTTTGTGCTTTAAAACATTTTGGCAAGTTATGAATAATTGAAATCAATAAGTTCGACTTCAAAAAATCATATTTGTTTACTCCAAATTCGTCATCGTTAAGTACTCGTAAAAACGACCACACGTTGTCCAAAATTTTCTGATTCCGAGGCCGGCTCCATTCCTGTTAGAATCAATGATTTGCAGTTTTAGTAAACTTACAATAATCATTAAGTGAGTAACTTAGTTTTTTTTTAGGTTTTGTTCTTTAGGTGAATGCATAGAATCCATTTCCGTGTTAGTATAACTCTTCGATTAAAATTTCTGATATATTATGATTGTTTTGATAAACAATTTAATTTATTCATTTAAACTATTCAAAATTTCACTATTGAAGCATTTGTGCGGTTAATATTCAACTAGTTTAAAAATAACGTTGTGATCGAAATTTAAATATGGAAGCCCGTATTTGGTGTAAAGTCCTTATTTACACTTTTCTTTTTGTTTCGTAATTTTTGTGCAAATTTGTATCTACCTTATACGTGGCAACACATGTTATATTGTATTCTAATATGAATTTAAGAGGTTGCGCTTAATTAAAAAATTTAAAATTTCGTATGTATCAACAAAGCTTTTTAATGAAATTAAAATTATACTTTCCGGATGTGTAAAACATTACTTTTCTCCAAATCTATCTCACATAAAGCTGAAATATAATCTAAACCACACATGTTTACTGCTTTCTTAAAAATCGAAAACTTAACACCTCCATTCATTAACGTCGGTAATAGTTAATAAGAATTACAGTTATTCTACTTTCAAATTATAAAATT